AACGCACAGCCCTCAGAACCAGAGAAGCCCTTCCAGGGCCCAGGCACGTTCTGCGGTGGTCCTGTGGGGTCAGTTTGTAAATGGAACACAGATTTTTTAGAATAGTCCCCAATACATTCTCTGCCCTGTCTAAACCTCAGCATCTGAACACTGGCAGGGAGCAGCATCAAATAGAAGGAAATGGGCTTTGAACTCTGTGATTTAAAACTGATTTCACTACCACCTAACTCTGATCTGAGTCTACTTACCTATAATATTGAATTCAAATGCCTACTTCACACAAGTGATGTACAAAACAGAGATAAACACTCAAACACTAGAATTTGGCCTCTGGGAGATGACCACAAGAGCTAGCTAGAATTACCTTGCAGACTTCTACCTCTTATACAGGAGCCCCAAAGTCTTAACCATGCTTCTTAGTCATATGTACACCCAAAAGTACACATTCAAGCACTCACAGGAGAGGTACGGCATCTCTACAATCCCCAGGGAAAAGCCCTACAGAGCCATCTTCATAGTATCTGCCTTGAAAGACCTGATCCAGGCACAGCTGACTGGCACCAGCAAGCTGGAGTAGAGAAGGAAAGACAACACAGAAGGGCATGCGGAGTTCCTACAGTTGACCAAGGATGACTAAACCTTATCCTGAAGTATCAAAGGATCACCTAGAAGTTGGGTACATTGACTTGAGAGAGAAGTTTAAGGTCTTATCAACCTCAGTTTCTGCCCAAACCACTCTTAACATTCCATGAACACTACTGGGCAGATTGAAATTTGTTTAATTCCTCCAGCAGGGGTGGTAAAACCTATGGGCTCCACCTAGGAATAATATTTTTTGTTTGTTTTTTGAAAGAGAGAGTGTCTGCGTGCAAGTGGGGGAGGGGCAGACGGAGAGAGGGGGAGGGGGGAGAGAGACAGAGAAAGAGAGAATCTTCAGCAGGCTCCATGTGAGATCATGAAGGACCAAAGCCAAAATCAAGAGTCAGATGTCTAACCGACTGAGCCACCCAGGCACCCAAGAATAATATTTTAAAATCTAGAAAATAAAATGGGATTACAGAGAAAACCAATCATATGTCTTTAAATCCCTTAAGTATCTATGATCCCCAAGTCAAGGATCCCCAAAAAGGTGAGTCTTAATGAAGGGGAAGCATGGGAGGTGGCTCTGGAGGGAATCTTCAGGCCATGGTAGGCCTAAATGTTCTGCTGCACTTTAAAATGGAAACATTCCAGAGACACCTGGGTGGCTCAGTCAGTTAAGCGCCCAACTCTTGATTTCAGCTCAGGTTACGATCTCATGGTTTGTGAGATCGAGCCCTGCATTGGGCTCCACAGTGATAGCATGGCACCTGTTTGGGGTTCTCTCTGTTCTCCTCCCCCTCTCATGCTGCAAGCTCTCTCTCAAAATAAATAAACCTGAAAAAAAAAATGAAAAAATACCAAAAAAAGGAAAAACACCAATATAAAGCTGAACAACTACTTATCTTTTCAAAACAGTATGAATTCTCACTTGATCCTTACACAATTCCCCTTGTAGGAAAGAAAGCCATCCTCACCAAAAAATAAAATAAAATAATAATAAAAATTAATTAATTAATTAATTAATTAAAAATGAGAGAGAGTGCTATGAATAGTTTTGGTAACTACGTGAAAGTCATCTTAGCCTAGTGGTTCTCAACTGGAGGCAATTTTGACCCCCAGGGGACATTTGGCAATGTCTAAAAATATGTTTGGTTACCAGAACAGGAGTGGGGGTGTATACGGTGCCAGCAGCTAGTGGGTAGAGGCCAGGGTTATTGCAAAACATCCTATAATGCACAGGATAGCTCCCTCCAACGAAGAATGATATGAACCAAAATGTCAATAGTGCTAAGGTACACAATGGTGCCAGTGGGTACACAAGGTTGGAGGAAAGCAAGATTCAGTGAGATTAAGTATCTTTGGGGTGGGGAGAGGGGAAAATGGGTGATGGACATTGAGGAGGGCACTTGTTGGGGTGAGCACTGGGAGTTGTACGTAAGCGATGAACCATGGGAATCTACTCCAAAAACCAAAAGCACACTGTACACACACTGTATGTTAGCCAATCTGACAATAAATTATATTTTAAAAAAAGTCTTTGTCCAAGGGCACGAAGATGGGTGGACTCAAGGCCTTGTTCTTTCCTGTATACCAGAAGAACATCTGTTGGCCTTAAAATGTGGGGGACTTTAGAGCCAATAAGATTAATGGTGGAGTAGGCATGAGGCACAGGCAAGGGCTCAGGGAGCATAGAAAACACAGAAATCAAGAGCAGGTCTTCAGTGTCCCCAGATGTCACCGTATTAGCTTTGACTGGTCTACAGCATCTCGGAGATTAATGGTTACCTAGCTTAAGATGTTCAGGTTCCTCACCTCAGTTACTAACAAATACAACAGACAAGGAAGGACAGCCAGAAACTCCCGAGGGCTTGTCCAGGTGGTGCTTCTAGTGAAGCACAGAAGCTTATGGACTGGTACAGGAGGCAGAAAAAACAGCTGATTTTGTTCCCCAAACTGATAATCACCTTAAATTACTAAGACTCATTAGTTTTACTCATTTAAAAAAACAAAACAAAAACCTTCAATTATGGCTATGAATAAAAGGTGAGCATGTGTGTGTACATACACAAATATGTGTGAATATATGTATGTGTAGACATGTACAGAAAATGAATTTACTTAAAAATATGTGGCAGTACTAAGAAACTACACCAAGCTACACTCATAAACACATAATGAAAATATTACCTCCTGCCTCAGTTTTGTTTTTTTTTTTTTAATTTTTTTTTTCAACATTTATTTATTTTTGGGACAGAGAGAGACAGAGCATGAACGGGGGAGGGGCAGAGAGAGAGGGAGACACAGAATCGGAAACAGGCTCCAGGCTCTGAGCCATCAGCCCAGAGCCCGACGCGGGGCTCGAACTCGTGGACTGCGAGATTGTGACCTGGCTGAAGTCGGACGCTTAACCGACTGCGCCACCCAGGCGCCCCTGCCTCAGTTTTTTTAAAGTATAAATTTAAAATGGACTTTGTTTGTAGGAGACAGTCCTCTGCAAGTTGCCTCTTGATGTCTAGAGCATCCAAGCAAAGCTTAATCAATGGAACCAACAAAGTAACTGAGGTTTTTTTTTTAGCTTATTGCAGCATGAACTTGTTTTGGGACAGAGTCCAAATTTGGGGGAAGAGTTATATATTCTTTTCTAGAACCCTGACAGAACCCTTCCCCCAAATCATGTGTTCATCACTTCTAGGAGTTTCTCCTCCTCCCATACACTGCACTTTCCCCATAAATTCTTCCTGGACTCTGCCTTCAATTCAGAAGGTCTGCTCCAGCCTGCTGCTTCTCCAAATGAACAAAATTCCATCTTGCTCACAGGAAAGAGATAGCAATTGACAGTAACTTATATTCACACAAATTCTTTCTTGCTGCTTCAATACATTATCTTCCGGGAACTGAACATCCATAAAAAGTCACACCATTGCCAATCCACTTCTATTTCCAACCACTTCTATTTCCAATGCATCAAGCATGGATGCCTTCACTATTATCCATAGCAAGAGCACTACATTGTATTAGGATGTCATCTAAGTTACTATGTTCATTTACCCAGGACAAAGAGTAGTCACAAAGCACTTTCAGCCTTTCAGTGTGGAGCACTCAATTATAGCAAATCCATTATGGGCAGAAGTCAAAAAGTACATTTCTACAAGGCAGGAGATATCTTTTTTTAATGTTACTTTGTGAAATTTTTCAGACACATAGGAAAGCTTAATTACACCAGCAAACACACCTAGATTCTACAGTCAACACCATGCTACTCAGGGACCATCTTTCATTACAATTCTGGGCATATCCACATTCCGAGGACCGAAGGCAGCATTCTCAGTTCATGTGCAGTCATGAAGGTCTTGTTCTGGTACTAAAAGCATGGAAGAAAATTTTAACCTTACCCAAACATCAGCCACAAAACTGCTGTCTAAATGAACTGAGCTTTTTCTAGATTTACCCAAAAGAAAACATCCTCACTTTTTCCAAAGAAAATAACTAAAAGACAGAGATCAGTGAAGCACAATAAAGAAAAATAAATGAAATGGCCTAGACACTGACAGAATAAACCTTTTAGTTAAAAGCAGCAATTATTTGGAGAAAAAGGAGTAACTTACAACTGTGTACACTGCTCACCATACCAAATGTGCCTGATACTGTTACAGAAATTCTCATCTGTTCCAGCTCTGACACTACTAACTCTCTAGCAGAAAAGTCACAGGCAGTAAAGAGAGTCCCTGTAAACACTGTAGTGACAGGAGCTCAATGCAGTTGTAACTAACTAGAAGCACATAACCTGGTAAGACATTACAAGATAACAGCTGTCAGCATAGGAACGCTGAGAATTTCAAAGGATATATTTAGCTTTATATTCTGCTTTAGCTCAAGGTGAAGAAGTCATTTGAGTGATTAAGTGTCACTACATGTTGACAGAACAGCCACGTTGTGTATATATATAATGCTCTCCTCCAGGTACATAACAGTTTAAAAACATTATTTTCTTTTCCTCACACTTTTGAGGGAGAAGCCATGAAACATTATTCCCAATTAACTGAGGCACAGATCAATTATGTGACTTATCTAAGGTCCCAAAATGAATCAGACTTGTAGCTAGGTATGAAAGCCAATCTTTTGATTACCATAAATACCAAAAAAATGCTCTCACACAGCACTAAACAAAAGAACAGTAATTTGTACAAACTGATGGTACATTGGTTAAAGCTTAAAGTTTTGCTAATGATTAAAGTTAGGCACAAAATAACATAAAATGGAACTGCTTGGTGTCTGCTTAGGTCTGCTGTATAGAGCAGCTCTCTACAATGCTAAGGTAGATTACTGTCTGACTCTTCCCAGTTCCCAACAGCCAGGCCTCAAGGAGTGAGGAGCGGAAGGAAAACAGTCTCTGCTGGGGTCCTCCTAACTGGGGTCAGTCACTCTAGAAGGCTCAGTTTCCACGGGGTTCTTTTGTTGATCTTTGGGGGTATCAAAAGCTCAGCATCTAAAAGAAAGGAAAGGGAAACTGTGACAGACACACTCTCTTGTTGCTGGGAGCTGAGGCAGGAACTCTAGCCTGAAAGTAGACGACTGGGCTTTGCAGCTACAAGATAAACATCAGACCAGAGCTAATGTCTGTTACCCTTGCAACCTTCAGTCAGAAGAAACACAGCCTAGAGGCCCTGCCCCAAGAAGAGGAATTTCCATTTCAGGCATGTGGAAGGATATAAGAAAAAATGTCCACTGAGTGATTCAAAGTAGAAGTATGTTCTAGATTTTGAATGGGAGAGGGTGGTGGTAGTGGTTACAAGGCTGTATATGATCATTAAATCTCATCACACTGTACACCTAAGATCTGTACATTCCACTATCTACAAAATTTACCTCAATCATAAGAGTAAAAGAAAAAGTGGTGGCATGTTATTCGGTAAATAAAGTTAGCCAAGAGAAAATATTTTATGACCAAAAAAATTCTACAAACATACTGATCGATAAAAATGTCCTTACTTAAAAAAAAAAAAAAAAAAATGTCCTTACTTTTAGAAAAAAGCAAATGGAAAAGGGAAAGATGGTTGGGGTAAAATTATAACTGTTAGCTCAAACTCTAAAACTCCCAGGCCCTCTTTCTTTTTTTAATACTTTATTTTTTAAGCAATCTCTCCATTCAACGTGAGGGTCGAACCCACAACCCCGAGATCAAGAGTCACACACTCCACCCAGGCCCTCTTTCAATTAGATTTGTGGTAGCAAGAGGTATCTATAGGTAGCAGAGATGTGAGAAAATATGTACATATAAAGGTGTTCTTTCTCAGCACTATTCGTAATAAAGTGCCAACAAAAGTACACCTGTATATATGAGCCACACAGACATTAAAAATTATTTTCACGAATATTTAACGTGAGGGGGACCTGGGTGGCTCAGTCAGTTAAGTATCTGACTCTTGGTTTTAGCTCACGGTTCATGAGCTCAAGCCCTGCATGAGTGCAGAGTCTGCCTGGGATTCTCTCGCTGCCCCTCCTTCCCACTCTCCCCCCCCCCCCCCCCCCCCCCCCCCCCCCGCCAAATAAATCAACTTAAAAAAAATAACATTTAACATGAGAGAAATGCTCAAAATAAAATGTGTTTAAAAACATGATTGCCATATTACACATAAATACATGTACTAGAAATTATCAAATTTTAATATTCTTTGATGTAATTTTCTGTACAATCCAGAATTTCACTACTATTCACATCAGTTTGATAATTTCATGTACAATTAGTGTTTTCTACTCCCCCAAAGAGCTATACAAATAAAAATACCATAGGAGGTTTTCCTTATTTCAGGATACTGATACTGGAAATTCATTATCAGCAAGGCCCATCATTCCATGTGAGACAGTTGATTAAACTTTAAATGAGACCATCTTTTTTATAAAAACATTACAAAATACTCTATTTTGTTAAAAAATTAGACGCAACTACGTTTGATTTCTATACTTAACTAAGAATACCAAGTATTGACTTTTTGGCAGGAAAACATAATTGTTCGGCAAACTGTATAAGGACAAGACATGACATCTTTTACCTTTCCACATTTGAATTTCACAGCTACAAGAGTTATTTTTACAAAAATACTTTGAGAGTTTTATCAGTTTTTCCAAGACTTTTCTTAATTTTTTGATTGTCAAATCATTCTCATTTGGAACACTTACTTTGTTATTATCAATTGTAACTAATAAGCCCAATTCAGCTATGAAGATTCAAGCACTTCTCTGATAACATTTTAATCCATTTTACGAAATTCTACATTTTTGTAAGACTTGTAACTGATCTGTATGATAACACATTGTAAGCATGAAAGAGACAATGCCCATCAAGTCCTGGATCCCAGCAGCAGGAAGTGTGAGTTTGCCTAAACTCCCTTTAGCTGGGGGAGGGGCAGTTGAGGAATATTTGCATGGGACTAATTTTGTCAGTAGTTCCTCTCCCTATTTTTAGATTATGAGACCCTCTCTTTCCCTACACTATCTTGTAATACCCACAAGGACGTGATAATACTTATGTATTCAGATAACGAGCCTCAGAATATTACTGTCTTTAAGGCTGAGCTGGAAAATGAGAGTGCTCTTTGATAAAGCCACCAAACTACTCTAGAGAAATCAGTTGACTAGACTTGACTGGAAGGTCAGCATCTGGCCAGGAATGAGGATAGTGGGGCACAAATCACAACTGGATTGGACAAAGTACAAACTGAACAATTACTAAGCTGCCTCAAGTCTAAGATGAATTTTTAGCATCTCAGAAATAAGTGTATGCTTTGGGACTGGTAACAAAAGCAGCCTGTCAGCCTTTAAGAAGAAGGGGAGCTAGGAATACAGTAGTTACTGTCCAGATATAGGAGTTGAGCTGGGATGGAAAGTAGTTAATTTATTCCTGGCAGCAACATAAGCTGTTAAAATTAAACTTAATGCGAAACCCCAAAGGCTACTTCAAATGTCATCAGAATGCTAGTATAGAATAGCATTTAAACGGAAAAAATTCAGAATGTTGTTGCCTGTCACATGCTGGAAAATGCAAATAACAGTAGCAAAAACTACCAATTATTTCAGAATAGGTCACTAATGTTTGAAAGCTAAGAGGTTGTTGGTATGCTTGACTGATCCACCTGAAGGGTAAATACTCAGGTACCAAACTGATGTGTCAAAAGTTTCTAACCAAATTAAAAAAGAAAGGCTTTAAGGGCTTTTAACTTTAAGGGCTATGCAATCTAATCAGGAATCATCTCCCCCACCAACAAAACAAAACAAAACATTTTAGGAATTAGGAAATGCAAATAAAATGCTAGCATTCTTTGGATTTGCTTTCAAAGTTTAGTGTCAATCCTGAAGATGATTAAAAAGGTTCAGTTCTTAAGTAAGGACTATGAAAACGTCCCCAAGATGCAATGCATAACTACTAACAGCCAAAAATGATAATTCAGAAGAATCTTTAAAATATATGGACTATGTAGACTCAGACTCCAACTGTGATGTGCCTGTATGGACAAGTGTATGCCAGGGTACAGACAAGATGGTATCAAGATAATTTTTTAAAAAAATTATACGTTTAATGTCATGTTGGATTCCCTACCCCTCGGGTTGCTCTTACTAGAAACACTAAACCGATTTTACTAAAAATATCGTCCTAAAATTGAAAGAAAATTGTAGTCAATACCCTATCTCTCCTCATACTGCTGATCATCTTAACACTTACAGAAAAATACTCCTCTGCTTAGTTCTGTGATAATCTGGAGAAAAAAAATACTAACCAAAAACAGGAACTGCAGTCTTCTGTTGTTGGTAAGCGGCCATGATACTATTGGCAGTAGCATTGGGACCTAGAACCTAAGGAGAAAGTAGAACAGCAAAGATCATTTCATACTTCCCATGACCGCAAATACCAAAGGCCGCATCTCTGCTAGCAGTAAGGAGCTTGTCATTTTCATGGTATCAAGCGCAGTGATTCTCTTTTCCTTCTGATTTTACTTTGCCAGTTTTCCCACTCTCAACTCAGACCTCCACATCTCCTTTCTTCCAGAAGACACGGTGATGAGGAGGGGAAAACAAAAAAGAAAATCTCAACAATATACTCCTGGTCCTTTCCAAATAAGCAAACCATACACTGCGGGGAGGAGTAGAGTACAAGAGGCTACAGAATACACAGACCATGAGGGGCGCCTGAGTGGCTCAGTCGGTTACGCGTCCGACTTAGGCTCAGGTCATGATCTCGCGGGTTTTGAGTTTGAGCCCTTTGAGCCCTGTGTCCAGCTCTGTGCTGGCGGCTCAGAACCTGGAGCCTGCTTCAGGTTCTGTGTGTCTCCCTCTCTCTGTCCCTCCCATGCTCATGCTCTGTCTCTCAGTAATAAATATATGTTAAAAAAAAATTTTTTTAAATAAAAAAAAGAACAGACCATCAAATCGCATTCAAAGATTTGTGGGAATTTTTATATTAAAACAAACGTGCATATCATGGATGCACGTGTGCAAACTCTGCACACGTGTTCAAGGTAAAACAAGAGACATCATAGGAATTCCACACCTGTATGAGCCTCAGTGGGCACATGCCAGGCCCTCTGCTTTGGCTTCACTTGGTTCAGCGTGCACACCCTCGGGGGCACTGTCTCAGCAGCAATGTCAATGTCATGCTCAAAGCACCTCCATGTGACTCATGTATCCTGCACATATGCCATTACCATACTTTACCAAGCAAAGCAAAACAATTTTCTGCTCATTTTCCCTAGAAGACTCTTAAAGCCCGTGTCTCAGAAATTAATAGGATCTGAATAAAAAAGGGTAGGGGAGGACATGAGGAGGTACTATACATTGTTAAGCTTCAAAACCAGTACAGATTTGAAGATGATCACATTTCTTCTAGGCAATACCTCTTTTAGTAAATTCAAGTATTTGTGGGGTGCTGATTCTCAACTGCTTTTATTTTTATGGTACACTACATGCACCTATATCTGCCCTCTTACCTAACCTTCAGAATATGCCAGTGAGGTGTATAGGGAAGTATATCCCCATTTACAACTGAGGAAATCAAGGCCCAGTAAAGCTACGTGTTTCTAATCAGTAAGCCGAATACCAATTTCTCTTCCGGCTTCAAAACCACCCTTCCCTACAGTGCTTGTGATGCTGACAGCCTGAGAAAACATTCGCCTTTGCACCTGGCTCACGATGCTCTGACCATAGCAGACACCAGAGGGACAGTGCAAGACTGGAGGAAGAAGGAATGTGTTGGGGCATCTGGGTGGCTCAGTCAGTTAAGCATCCAACTTTGGTTCAGGTCATGATCTCAATGGAACCAGAAAGTTTGAGCCCCCGCATCAGGTTTCAGCATCAGCTCAGAACCGAGCCTGCTTCTTTCATATTGTGTAGGTTTCCCCTTTCTCCCTGCTCCCCCTCCCCTTGCTTGTTTCCTTTCTCTCTCTCAAAAAAAAAAAAGAAAGAAAGAAAAAAAAAGAAGGAATGTGCTCCTTCATTCACTTGCTTTCATGCAATGGCAGCTCTTTACCCTGGCAGCGGCTGTTCATTCCGGTTTATTTCTCTACACTTAGAGCCATTACGCTCCCTCAGAAGTATCAGCACCAGCTGCCTGGCACCCTCTTCTCAGAGGGAGGAGAGCCAGCTTCGTGGGGTCCCATCTCCAAACTTCTAAACTGCTGTAATCCCAAACTCTTCTTTGTTCCCTCGAAGTTACCATCTCGAGTTCCTTCTCTGAGCTCCCATTTTGGCTCTTCAGTTCTCCAATACCTGTTCAACCAGTTCCATGTATTAAATTCTCTCTGTTAAAATAACAGCTGTGGTGGTTTTCCTTAATGGATCATGCCTGACACACCAGCCTTTCTGAATCAAAACAGAAACTTAACAACAGGCCTGAGGTGTGAGAGACTGAGCAGAGGTATAACCAACAGATGGTAATACATGAGAGTTCTTGATAGGACACAACTGCCTTAAACGTAAGTAGTAAAGCTCCTCATGAGAACACAGTAGAAGTGACAAGTCAAATTTTCCATGAAACAAAAGAGAAAGCAATTGTTTGGGTTACTTTAAGAACTTCTGATCCCACCCAATGAACAGGGAGGTGAAGAGGCTAACTCTGGCCCTGGCTTCCCCCTTCCCCACCCTGATCTCACTGAAGGCAGGGGGCAACAGTCTGAATTGCCCATCTTCTCCACAACAACTGCTTCATGCAGAAAGGAGAAATAAAAGCAAACTTAACCTAGGCCAAGGTGTACCTGAATAGAAGATCTTCTTACTGACAGCTTAAATATAAGCCTAAGATAATTTAACTATGGTATGTTGTGTTTCTAATATAATATGAAAGCAAATCTTTTGCTTCAACTTTTAAGAGATTGTGTGAATGTAATAAACTTGAAAATGATTTTTTAAAAATGCACATTCTGTCTCTGAAGGAAACTTACCGTCGTAGCTGAATTCTGCTGGTGGGTGAGAGTCCAAATTTCTGGAAGTGACCTTTCCATTAGCTGGAGAGTATCTTCAAAGGCCTTCTGTAATTCCCTTCCTTGCTCATCAAACTCAAACAGAAAGAGCACCTTTAAAATCTGGTATACTTCATCTAGAGAGAAGAAATTTGAGAAAGTGGTAACTTGGGTCCCCAACTCCATTGCTAGAATCAACCTAATTTCTTTCCCAATTAAGAAATACTTAATATCACACTACAGCTGCCATCTCCCACATTTTCTTCCTTCTTCCCAAATGCTGGAATAATTCAACATATCTACTATAAAAAGAAAAAGGGACACACTGGGGCCCAAGCAGGAAGCAGTGTCTTCTCAATCCTTTACTCCAGTTTCAGCGCTAATGTCTCCCAGGCCGGGTGCATGGAAGCCAATAGAGGAAGGCTCCTATGTCACCAGCTGAGAGTGGTTCAGGAATGTGCCCTGACAAGATGCGTCCTTCCTGCTGCCAGTTTTTGTCTTTCTTCAAGTTGGGAAAATTGCATCTTAATGTTTATTAAAGTCTGTGCTATCCATTTACTTTTTTGTGTGGCAAGAATCATTTGTATTGAGAATATACCTTTCAATTTTTCAGTGCTCTGTACGATTTCATTCAGTGCCTCCAAAAGGGCCAGATCCTCTAGTGGACTCCCTTCTTTGAGGCTATGCTTCTTCCGCTCTGCTTTGCGGCGATTCTTAGACGATCGCCTGTTAGAAATCAGAAAGAGGTTATAAATCTTGTGCTGCACAGATTAAAATGAATGTACCTGTTGGCCACCAACTTTTGAGGAACCCAGAGAGTCTACAGATGGTATGTATATTTGGGGGGAAATGGTGATGAGGTGTTTAAATGACGCCTAAAATAAAATTGGGAGAAGCAAATCTTATAGGCAGGAAGTAATAAGGAAAACCCTAAAAGGTAGTATCTGGCCTTAAAATTTTGATTAAAATACAGAGTAAAATGAGGTTGTATCTGATCATAAGAGTGAGAACAACAAAGAGAAGAACAACAAACTTGAATTTTCTAACAAAATATAAATTCAAAGGCAACAAAGTAAAATTTAAATCAGGGGACATTATGAGAGCCTGAGTGGCTCAGTCAGTTAAGCATCCAACTCTCAGTTTCGGCTCAGGCCATGATCTCATGGTTTCGTGGGTTTGAGCCCCGCGTCAGGCTCTGCGCTAACAGTGCAGAGCCTGCTTATCTGTCTCCCTCTCTTTCTACCCCTCCCCTACTCATGCTGTCTGTTTCTCTCAAAATATCAATCAATCAATCAGGGGACATAGACATAGCACGCTGAATTTGAATGCAATGAGTCCTGTATCTTTCCTGCTCAGAGGTCTTTAATTATGCCACCTGTCTCTCGCCCTGACTCTTAAAAGTCCAGTTTCTAGTTACTTCTCTAGGAATTTCTGATCACCCCACATGACCTCAAAAATCTCCATTCTGAATTCATAAAGTATGATTCACTTCGAATACACAATATGCAGTTTTATGCTTCCCAAAGGTGACTATAAAGCACTTATAAACCCACAGCTCCTTAAAAGTTTTTGCTAACATCCACTACAATACAACTAGCATCTGGGTGTTCTGACCAGCTGCTACACTTGAAGTATGATGACTTATTTTATATTTATAACCTCTTCCAATCCTGACTTTGAACTGAAGATGCCTGAATATTTTTTCTTTATCATCTTTTAATTTTTTTTAGTGCTTACACATTATGGTCACCTAGTATTTGTTAAACAAATGAAATCAAATGTCATAAAAACTGAGTTCCCAGTGTAAGAGCCTTGTGGGCATGAGCAAACGCACAGTCCGTGAAGAATCAGCAGAAAACATTTCAACACCAAGTCTGATTTCTTAGATATGCAGGGAGAGTCCTTGCATAACTATATCATGGCTCTGCACTGTCCTCCTGATGAAAAACTGACCTACTTACTTGCTCTTTCTCCATACACCCAGGGCATGGTCAAAACGCTGAATAAACATGATACATACGCTGATATCCTCGAGTTGCTTTGGGAATATCTGCCGCTCATGTCACTGCCACTCAGGACACTGCTAGTTTCAGAGAAGAGGTCTGACTCTTGACCCTGGGGCACCTCATCATCTAGAAAAGTAGAATCAGATGCAGAATGAAAACCCCCTGCTAACGTGAGTTTACTTTTAGTGGGGTAAGTGGACTGTGGTTAACCAGGGCATATCTGAGGATGGATGACAATTATCATAAAGTAGATCTCAAAGTGAAATGAGAGAATATTAGTTATTATTAACATATACAGTACCAAACTAGTTATTTTTTCTTTCTTTCTTTTTTTTTTCAAAGCAAAGGAACCTCTGGAGACAAGGTGGCTCATTTTGTGAAACAGAGAAGTCGGCTACTCTGCTTGGTGGGGGTGGAGGGCACATGCAGCAGAGCTCTTTCCATTCATGCTTGGTCTTGCCCCTCAGCCCTCCCCTACACGCACAAACACAGGCACACACAGGCACACACAGCCCCTAAGGGGTTTCACAGAGGCCTCACATGTCCCCCGGCACAGTAATCATATTGCAGAAGGCACAACAAGCAGCTAAGACAAGGTGTGACGTGTCCCCACAGCACCCAAGCGCCAATGCCGTCATGCAGACACTCACCCAGGTTCACCTGCTGTGCTTGCTCCTTGAGCTCTCGAACCACCAATAAACGTTGTTTATGGCGACAGAATGTGGCTGTCTGAGACTCCAGAAGTGCCACATAATTCTTCTGGGCTAGGAGTGCAGATGGAAAATAATTTGAGGATATTTAAGCAGAAAAAAAAGAACTAGAGGAGGGCAGTGAGGAAGTTAGAATTTAACAAAAAGAAAACAAGTTACTAGGTTTTCCAAGCAAGATTTTTTCCTTAATGAGAATTAACCTACATCATTTTCAGAGAATGAGCCAGACATTGAGACTTCAGCTCTTAGTGTTCATCAACATCATCCTGGAACATTCGTTACCACTAAATTGATAAAATCACCTGAAGAAAGACTAGGTAACTAACCCAAGAGAGGACTAGCAAAGAAAAGGAGTATACAAGGAAGTTGTTAACAAACACAAACATTCACTGAACTGCTTCCTGAACATAGGTATGAGGCCCATGCAGACGAACTGTCAGTATTTTTCTAAGTGCTCAATAGGGGACAAAATCCAAGTTTAAGAGCTGGCTAGATGGACTGCTGGAGGGCCAGGACGGAAGCTTTCAGTAACCAGGTAGAGATACCTATGTGAACGATAAGAAAAGAATCCTCCCATGGTGTTAATGGGGAGGGGGAGGAGGATACAGGCAGGGTAAACGTGAATATATATACATGTCAGAAAGGCCAGATCTTACTCACAGGGCAGACTGTGCTAAAATTGGAGGGCTTAGAACGAAACCCCACTCCCAGAAATTTCTGTTAGCCAAACTGATGCCTTTCTTTCCCATTTTGCTTTTTTTTTTTTTTTTTTTTTTTTTTTTTTTTTTTTTTTTTTTTTTTTTTTTTTTTCAACGTTTATTCACTTTTGGGACAGAGAGAGACAGAGCATGAACGGGGGAGGGGCAGAGAGAGAGGGAGACACAGAATCGGAAACAGGCTCCAGGCTCTGAGCCATCAGCCCAGAGCCTGACGCGGGGCTCGAACCCACAGACCGCGAGATCGTGACCTGGCTGAAGTCGGACGCTTAACCGACTGCGCCACCCAGGCGCCCCCCCATTTTGCTTTTAAGGAGTCACAGTGACCATCTGAGTATTCTAGAACTGGTAAAACTCATCTGTTCAATGTACAAATATACCCTTCACTTAGATTTACCAATTGTTAACATTTTGCCCTATTTTTTTGGCTTCCTGTTTCTCTCCATTCGTACACACAACTACTATTTTTATGGAACGTTTTGAGAGTAGGTTGCAGATACGATCCTTCCCTCCTAAATACCTCAGCATAGCTCTCTTAAGAATAAGGACATTATCGGGGCATCCAGGTAGGGCTCAGTCAGTTAAGCGTCCAACTCTTGGTTTCAGCTCAGGTCATGATCTCACAGTTTGTGAGTCTGAGCCCGGCGTCCGGCTCTGTGCACAGCACGGAGTCTGCTTGGGATTCTCTCTCTCCCTCTCTCTGCCCCAGCCCTGCTTGTGCATGTTCTCTTTCTCTCTCAAAATGAATAAACTTTAAAAAAAAAAATAAAGGACACTAATATGACCACAATACAATTATTAAATGCAAGAAACTGGCCCCTGACAAAATACTATTATTATCTAATGTCTAGTTCATATTCAAGTTTACCAACTATTTCCAAATATGAAGATTCTTAATCATATCTTATGTGTTTTTAACATTCAAATATTTTCTATACTACCATTTAACAGTTCAGCATGCTTAAAAATCCTGGTCAGAAGAAAGTATTACACCCAGTGGACAGTTTTGATCACCTCTATGTAACACCCGATTAAAGGATGTCCTAACAAAGTAAGTACTGTTATCTTGCTCTTCCATACCTCCACACTTCCAAATGTGGAATTCTAAGATGTAACCCTTACCTTCTAGAATGGAAGGCTTTACATTGGTTTCTATAATATCTGGTCTGTTGTATTTGTATACCTAAAAGGAAAAATACAGTAATCTCAGGCAAGAAAACTGCAAATCACTGGAGAGTTAAGATACTTGGAAGGAAATGGATCACTTTCAGAGGTCACCAGGATATTTTCAAGAGCAGTAGGCCTCTAATGAATATTTAATTCACTTCAGTAAAGACCAGTAATATTTCACATTTTAAAAGTTGATTAATTCAAAACACCAAGAATACATTTTTAAAATAGCTTTAAAAATACTATTTATCCTTAGACCAAGAACCTAAACTATTTTTACTTAATTTCACTAGCCTCAGAAGACCAGGGATTCTAGCTGACCCTTCTCCCCCGCACTCTTGCTCTAAGCACCTAACAGAGTGATGATTTTTAAAGTTTTTCTTACCAGTCTCAGAGCTTCCTCCCAGGCAGCTCCTTCTAATAACAAGAGCACAGCTTCTTCATAATCCTGACAAGGCAAAACCAAGGAAGATTACAGGTAAATGGAGCAGGCCCGTCAGATGCCACCATGACAAACTGCCGACAGAGTGGCCTCTCTGCCCTTCCAGCCCCTTCCAGCCCAGTCCCTAGTAGCATGTCTGGCCCAGAGTACCTGCTCAATAAATAAATACTGATGCAAAAGACAAAGGAGTGAGGGGCGGTGTGGATTCTGGAAATAACCACAAAACACATGGTATCATCTCCCTATCTCCCTGAGCATCAAAACCACCAGAGTGCCCATCGCCCCAGCTACACCACCCAGTTTGAGTCAGCAGGTCTGGGGGGCTCCAGAATGAACAAGTTCACACTTCAAATAAATGGCAAACCAGAATAGTAAACTTCTAATCTTTTTACTCTTTGATGTTTTTTTCCCCAACTTTTATTTTTAAAAACTTCAAACCTACAGGGAACTGAAAAATGTGTGTAATAATGAGTGCAATAAACACCCACATATCCTAAGTCTTCAAACATTTTTGATGCTTGTAGCCTTACCAGTAAAAAATTGTGAGCACATACTGCAGTATGTACTTAAGGTACTTATGAAGTATATAAAACAAAATATTTTTATGTGTACAATTCATGTTTATCTTTTTACTGTTGAAGTTTAGTTGACCTACAATGTTATATGAGTTTCAGGTGTACAACAGAGTGATTTGATAGTTCTATACATTACTCAATGCTCACCACGGTTAAGGACAGTCATATCTATCACCACACATTATATTATTGACTATATTCCTCATGCTATACTTTTTTCTTTTCCGTGACTTATAACTAGAAGTTTGTGAAACTGGAAATGAGTGGAAATAAAACACATTTTAAACAGATGAAATATTTAAGACAACTGGCTGGGTTTCCTCTAGTAATCACTGTCATAAAAAGAGGGGGGATGGGTATACATTAGATTGAAAGAGATTTAAGGGACATAAGATGCATAATGCAATACATGATCCTAGACTGGAACCTATTTTGGATCAATCTACTGTAAACAATTTCGGAACCACTGAGGGAACCTGAATTTTAATCGTTAGGTAAATAAAATGTGCTAACATGGAAAGATGAAGATCATAACCAAACAAAGCAAATTTAAAAACACCACAAACAGTGTAATTTCATTTTGGTTAAAAGGTATGTGTGTGTTTGTGTAGAGAGAGAGCGCACTCTAAGAAGAATCAGAAATAGGAGGGAAGAACAGCAATCTTCTGGGTGGTAGGAATGACGTTTTTTATTTCCTTGTATCTACGTTCAGCATTTTAAACAATCTAAATATACGCATACTACTATATTTTTAATTAAAATTATTAAAAATAAGTATTTTCTTCCCAGATCCAACGCATATGCCGCATGAATAGGCCTATACCACAGGTATAGCAGGACACAGCAGGAGGATGTGTTGCCTGACTCAGGAAGAGAGAGAGAGAAAAAGAGAAAGCTGTTTACCAAGGTGACAACCACATGACAGTCACTTTAAAGTGTACAACTAGATGGCATTTGCTGTACTCACAATGTTATGTAACTACCAACACTTTTTTAAATCACCCCATAAAGACATTCCCATTTCCTACTCTTTACCTCCCCTGGTAACCTCTAATGTGCTCTTTCTCTGGATTTGCCCCCTTGGGATATATAATAGAAACCATACAATAGGTGATCTTTTGCGTCTGGCTTCTTTCAGTTAGCAGAATGTTTTCAAGATTTATCCAAGTTGTAGCATGTATCAGTTCTTTGTTCTTTTTAAATTAATTTTTGATTATAATAAAATATATACGACATACATTTTACCATTTTCACCACTTCATGCTGTAAAGTCCAGTAGCATTAAACAAATTCACACTGTTGTGAAACCATCACCACCATCCATCTCCAGAACGTTTTTCATCTTGCAAAACTGAACCTCTATACCCATGAAACAGTAACTTCCCTGCTCCTCTCCCCCAGCTTCTGGCAACCATCATTCGACTTTGTCTCTATGCCTCTGACTACACTAGGTACCTCGTAGAAGTAAAATCCTACCATATTTGTCCTTTTATATCTGGTTTATTTCACTTAGCATAATGTTGTCAAGGTTTACCCAAATTGAACCATCCATCGGTTTTTCATTCCTTTTTATGACTGAATAATATCCTACTGTGTGTGTATAAATGTTGTGAGCATGTATCTCACGATTTATCCATTTATCTGTCATTGATGGACATTTGGGTTGTTTCTTCCTTTTGGTTATTATAAATAAAGCTGTTACGAACATTTACATACAAATTTCTTTGTGGACATACGTTTCCATTTCTCCAGAGTATATACTTAGCAGTGGAACTGTTGGGTTATATGGTAATCTATGTTTAACTTTTTAAGGAACCAACAAACTGTTTTCTACAGTGGCTGTGCCATTTTACATTCTCACCAGCAATGTACAGAAGAGTTCTATTTCTCTACATACTTCCAACTTTGCACTGTTTTTGATTAAAGCTATTCTAGTAAGTTTCATGGTTTTGATTTGCATTTCCTTAATGAACAATGATGCTAAACATCTTTTTAAGTGCTTGCTTGTTGGCCATTTGTAAATTTTCTTCAGAGAAGTATCTATTCAAGTCTTTCGTCCATTTTTAAAATGGGTTGTCTTTTTGTTGTTAAGTTATAAGAGTTCTTTACGCATTCTGGACACAACAAGAAAACTATAAACCAAAATCCCTCATAGAAAAATACAAAAATCCTCACGAAAATTTTAGGAAATTGAAATCACCAGTAATGAAAAAGGGTAATACATTATGAGCAAGATGGGTTTAACCCAGAGATGCAAGATTAATTTAACATTCAAAAATCAATGTAATTCACCATGGCACTGGTCTAAAACAAAAATACCTTAACTGACATTGTACTTGAAAAATTCAATATCCGTTCACAATAAAAACTCTCAGAACCAAGACTAGAAGGGAATTTCCTCAACCCAAGAGAGCAAGAACTGGCAAATTTTTCTGTAAAAGGCTAGACAACAAATATTTCAGGCTTCGTGCGCTAGACCATCTCTGTCACAATCCCTCAACTCTGGTTGTAGTTACAAAAGCAGCCACAGAAAATATGTAAACAAATAAGTGTGGCTACATTCCAATAAAACTTTAGTCGTAAAAACAGGTGGCCAGCTAGATTTGGCCCACAGGCTACAGTCTGTCAACTCCAAAAGCCCTACCGGGTTCTCACATCTATTAAAAAACAGCAGCACAGGGGCGCCTGGGTGGCTCAGTCGGTTAAGCGTCTGACTTCAGCTCAGGTCATGATCTCACAGTTCGTGAGTTCAAGCCCCACGTCGGGCTCTGTGCTGACAGCTCAGAGCCTGGAGCCTGCTTCGGATTCTGTGTCTCCCTCTCTCTCTGACCCTCCCCTGCTCATGCTCTGTCTCTGTCTCAAAAATAAATAAAACATTAAAAAAAAAAATTAAAAAAAAACAAACAGCAGCACACATCAAACTTAATGCTGAAAGACCGAATCCCCCCCTAATATCAGGAGAAAGGCAAGGTGTCTTATCACTTCTATTCAACGTTGTACTGGAAGTTCGATTAATGCAGTAAGGCTAGAAAAAATATAAAGGCATACAAATTGAAAAGAAAGAAACTGTCTTTATTCACAGAAGCCATGCTCATTAACATAGGAAATCTTATGAAATTTACCCCAGTGTTCCTAGAACTAAAAAATAAGTTCAGCAAGGTTGCAGGATATATAAAGCCAGAAAGCCAAAACAAAACGATAAACTATATTTGTTTACTAGCAACAAGAAATTGGGAAGTGCAGGAAAAATACTAGTCAAGTCTTAAGATGACCCCAGCTCTGGCCAACACCTTGACTGCAGCCTTGTGAAAGACCCTGAGCCAGAGGCCCTAACTAAGCCCCACCCAGATTCTTGACGCATAGAAACAAATAATGAGTGTTTGTCATTTTAAGCTAAGTTTTGGGGTAATTTGTTATGCATCCCCTGATATGTGATACATCCAGTGTGGGTGAGTACTCACTAAGGCACTCACACATCACTTGTGGGAACACAAGCGATGGAAGCTCTGCAGCTCCTTATAAAGTCACGCATCCACTCCCCACGTGACCAGCATTCCCACTCAGGTATTCACCCAAGTGAAACGAAAACATCTGTCGTCACGAAGACTGGTACCAGATTGCTCACAGCCGCTTTATTCTAACTTTAAAGTGAAAACAATCCAAATGTACATCAACTTGTGGATGAATCCACAAATTACGACCTGTTCTTACAACAAAATACCATTAGGCAAAATAAAAAGGAATGCACAGATACACATGACATAACATGGACGAATATCAAAAGCATTATGATTTCCAGTTCCCAGTCCAACACACAAGGAACCTGGAAGAAATCATCCATCCTAACAAGTAAAAACCTGAACAAACTGAAAATCAACAATTCTCCTTAGACTGGAGAACTGAGGTCATAGGGCAAACTGCTGCCCCTAAAACTGGAGAAACAGACAGGCAGACACGGAGAATTACAACTTGGCAGAACAGAACAGAGACTCACAAGTAGAAATCTCTACCAGAACCAGTACTGGGGTGGGAACATCTAAAGTGTAAGTGACCAATGGCTGAAGGATCACTGCGGATGAGGCTGGAGGTGAAAACTCTATGGACATCCAGGCTCAGGGAAGCTCCTTCACTTCTGTGAGTTTTTACCTCCACGAGCCCTACCAGAGTCTCATAGTGAGTATCAGATAGATTCTCCTGCTTCTGGCAAAAACAAAAATGATGTCATTTTGAATATAACCAGAGCACGCTGCTCTTAACAAGACCAAGAGAAACTATTTTGCCAGAACCTAACTAAAGTGGAATTTATCAGGGAGGGAAGAGAAATAAAACTCCAGCTCCCCCTGGCCTTCCTGTCCTACCTAAGGAGTGAAAAATCTAAGAAGCACCGGTGAAGTCCAGGGACACAGGCTCAATAAAAGACTGAGACTTAATCATAGGGCTGTAGAACACTTCTACCCTCACACCTTATCAGAACATCACTAAAAGCCTACTTACTGGATTTCCTTTACCTAGGACAACATGGCAGGCTTTCTACAGAAGATTACAAAAAGGACAAAAAACAGTCTGAAGTGCCAGAGGAAGCATCAGAACAAGACTCAGATGGGGCAGGGATACTGAAATTATGAGGCCAGGAATTTAAAGTGAGTAGGATGACACCTGAAACTATTATGACACCACATGTTAGTTATATTTCAATTAGAAAAAGCAAATAAAAGAAAAGAAGTATGATTAGTATGTTAAAGGCTCTAATGGGAGAGTAGACAACATGCAGGAACAGATGGGTAATGCAGCAGAATGATGGAAACTCTAAGAAAGAATCAAAAAGAAATGTTAGAAAACAAAAGCATTATGTGAGTGAAAGAAGCCAGACTAAAAAACTACATACCAGATGGTTCCATTTACATAAAATTCTAGAAAAAGCAAAACTGTAATGATAGAAAGCATAGCAGTGGTTGGTAAGAGAGTACCGAGAGCAGAGGCAGAAGACTGACTGCAAAGGGGAAGCAGAACTTTTCGGGGTGCTGGCAATGTTCTGTTTTGGTGGCTGTAGTAGCACTACGTGGCTGTAAGCATTTGTCACAACTCATCCAATTGTTAATTTAAGATTGGTAAATTTTATTATATGTAAAGTATATCCAATTAAAAATATACAAGTTATAAATGTATAAATTAAGTACAAATATGAATTAAAATCTTCATTTACAGAGGGGGAAAAAAGATGGTGGCATCTTATCCATTCAATTAACCACCTTAGGTAGTATATCTTTCTACTCTAGCCTCGTTATTACGCGTAGTTTATTCGTTGATGTTTTCAGCTCAATCATCCAACATAATTTCTTGCAAGGATCTAATGATATCAAATTTTACTGATCTTCTCTCACTCACCCTTATTACATGAAAGACATTCAGGTATTTTAAAAGCACAATTATGTTACACAAATGTGCCCACTAGTAACGACTGTAAAAAATAACACTCTCTTGTCAAAGGCCAAAACTCTAGAAGGCAGTAATCCCTGGTGTCAACTGCGTACCTACATCCTGTTAGTCCAGGGCCAGTATCAATGCATAGTTTTATTATTTTCATAATAAATTCTATAATTCTATCAAAAGCTGGTATAGGTATTCATCTTTATAATCTGCTAGAAAATTGGATCCTATCAGGCTGTCTGAGATAAAAAGACATTTCCAACAGACAGAACGGTTGTAAAGGCCAAAAAAAAGTATCTGAAGTTTAATCTTTTTGTTTTAGAATGGTCCTTTCTCACTGTTTGTACTTGGCAAGTTCACATAAAAAGCACAACTCCCTGCAGATTTAATTTAGTACTTTCTGTCAGGGTCAAATCACTAGTGCCTCAATCACAGAGGTAGTGCCTCACTACCTCACAGAACTTACTATTTAGAGAACTAATTATTTAGAGGCCTATTAAATTTAGATTTCTAAGTCAGGTCAGCAAGATGGAAGACCTGCAGAGCAAACACTGTCTCTGGACTTCCTAATTACCCTGAGTTCCTTTAATTTTCCTGATCAGTGAAGTACAACTGGGAAGACCTTGCTTGTTGGTTGGGTGGCTTAAGGAGGGGGGAACTGAGAGGCACCTGGGTGGCTCAGTTAGTTGAGCGTCCAACTCTTTGATATTGGCTCAGGTCAAGATCCCAAGGTAGTGGGATCGAGCCCTGCGCCTGGCTCCATGCAAGAGTGTGGAGTCTGCTTAAGATGCTCTCTCCCTCTTTCTCTCGCTCTCCTTCTGTCCCTCCCCTGCTTGCATGTGCATGAGCTTGTGCTCATTAAAAAAACAAAAAAGAAGGGAGGAACTGAGAGGTTACCTGGGCGTACTGTTCCAAGACTGTGGCTGCATCACCATGCTTCCTCTGCTCAACCAGCTTTCCTACAAAGATAATAAACATCTGACCATAGTTGGCTTGCTAAGAACAGGATTACCAAAGCTCACGTTGAACTGGTTTTTGCAGGTACTTTTTGAACAAAAATGGCCCCCTTACAAATTGGAGACTGAGCTCTACAGCAGACATCCAAACAGAACTGCTTTAAAACAGCATTTTCCAAAGTGCTCCCTAAGAGTGTTCCATAGAATAATAAAAGGCAATACCAGAAAACAACAACATTCGCAGGTCAAGTAAGTTTGTGAAGCACTAGGTCAAACAAAGCTACACAGATTCCTTTGCTTGAGTGGTTCACTAATATATCTGTATTATGTATCAAACGGCGTATGTTGTGAACTTGTCAGGAAGTAGGCAGGAATACCATGGAGTCCTATCTTAAATGGCAGTTACGATCTAAATTTAGCAGAAAATGTGAAAATGATGTATAGTCAAAATTAGCCATGAGAAAAGCTTACAAAGGCACACATATGGGAGACTGACCTAACATCTCTCCCTCATCCATTTCTTCCTCAAATAGGAAGAGACTGCTAATCTTTGGTTGAGCACTAAGATGAAGGCAGCTGGCTCAGGGGTCATGCAGTGTCTTTAGATCCTCGAGTGACTCAGCACAGTTGAGAGAATCCTGCTGTAAGAAGCACCCAGAACCTGAAGCTGACTATGGGGCTGGCAGATTCATGTCTCCCATCTCATTCAAACTCCTGTGCATATCATCCCTGACAAAAACAGGTAAAATCATCTCCACAATTTAAACAGCTATCTTTCTTTTCTTGCGTAAACTGCCTAAGTTCAAGTGTACATAAAGTGACTCTACCTTATAAAATTTCTCAAAAATCTTTGACCATCACCTCCCCTTACCTTTTTTTTTTTTTTTTTTGCTAAACATCTGGGAGAACTTGGTGTATACCATAAAACAAGACAAATAGCAAGCTCAAGTTGTAAAGAATGTAAGAGAAGATAGCAGGTCCTAAAAACAGAACTGGAAGGTATAAACAAACTACCAAAACCTGTTTCTAAAGCAGAAGTAACAGTGGAGTCACAAAGAATACCTAACAGGCCTAATATAGAGAATTCTCAAAAACTAAAAAGAGTTCACCATGGAAATTACGAGGGCTTAGAAGAGCCTGCAGATCTAATTACCAGAAAAAAAAATACAAATAACTAAGGAAAATATGCACATATATTTAACAGGATTTAATCTGGAATTTTTTCAGGACTACGTGTTTTTTGAAACAACAACAGTATTTTTAAAACTCTAAAAAGGACAGGGGGGAAATATACCGGTCCCTTACTTCAAGCACAGCTGAGAGGACAGAGCCCCTGTTCACCTCTTCTCCCAAACGGTCCTGAAGCTCTCCCTGACTCAAACAAGTTACACTCTGATAGAGCCTCCCCGCTGGATCAGACAACCCCTAGACCCTGACGCAGCTAAACTGCCTTTGCATTCAGAACGCTTATACATTTAGCCTCTTCTTTCATTTCTGAAAAATGCTATTCTTGTTTCCCACGATCTACTGTTTATAACTGAAGGGCCCCACCCCAAAACTCACGTTCGCCTTCTCCTAGGGCCCATGGCTGTGCAGTTACTCTGTGCTAGGTGTGCCGTGTGATGTAAGCTTTGGCAAATGAGATGGAACAGAAGTAACAGTGTAACTTCGAGATCATTTCCAACTTAAAGCGTTCTCCTACGGCTCTTTCTCCCCTTCCTGAGGACTGCGATACAGAGGTGGAGAAAATCCAGCTACAACCATCCGTCTGAGATGACAGAGCCACACAACGGAAGAACTTCTCAGTCCTCACGTGAGAGAAGACAGCAGCTTTCTCTATTACGCCACTGCATTTGGGGGACTCACTGTAGCAGTGAGACTGTCTCAAGGTATGCTGCTCTAAATTTACTTGCAAAACTGCCAAAGAAAGGGAGAAACAAAAAACCTCTGGAGAAGTTCTCATTTTGGAGAGCCTAAACCGCCGTGTTTACCTGCCAGAGTTCTGCTGAGGCCAGCCAGCTGGTCTTTGGTCCAGTTAAGTTGGGCTGCCAGGCAGAGAGCTTGCTGCCAGCTGCCACTGGCCAGAAAGGCACTGAGAGCTTTCTCATGGGCACCACAGCGGGCAAACACGAGCCCTGCTGGCTCGTAGAGGTGCTCCTGTGTCAGGTGTTCCCCATAAGCAATGCTGATCTCCTGTGGTAAGAGGAGACATTGGGTTGGTAAGGAAAGGTGACATTTTTTAACCTCCAATGGAGGCTGCTTCAGTTACTACATTTGAAAATCTCTTGAATTACTTATGAAAATCCTGTAGTTTATCAATGAATTCTATCATTCTTCCACTGAAAACCTTACTGAGGATGTGTCATGTGTTCACTCAACAAGTAATTACAGCGTACTATTCATGGCAGTGGGAATCACATGGCGATGCAATAAATAAAAACAAGCGAAACACCAAATACTAACAAAACCACCACCAAGTTCCCGCTCTTGTGGTGACAGGGAATGGACTTATAAACACAATATAGCCTGTGACATAGTGCTAAAGGGACAGAGAGTGAAGACAGTTGTTATTTTGGAGGGCTGTGAGGAGAATATGCTACATAAAGGGTTACAGGAAGAGTATTCCAGACTGACGGCTACAGAAGGCACCATGGCCAAGAGGCAGGAATGTGTATGGAATACCCAGGAAGGAACAGCAAGAAGGCTGGTGTGGCTGGACAAGAGACAGCACCAGAGGGAGGAAGAGACAATGAAAATAAAAGCAAAGAGGCAGCCACTGGCCAAATTCTCTATCCTGGGCTCCACGCAGGTAGGGACACAAAGAGGAATACAACACAAAGCCACCACCTTTAAGCAACCCATGGTCAGTTGGGGAGACAAATCGGTGTGTCAGAGGTTTGTTACGTACCACACTGACGTGAGAAGGTGCTCTGGAGTTCGGTGTGGGGCACCTCACCCCGGAACAGCTTTGTCACAGAGGAGACCCAAGAGTTGAAAGACAAGTGGGGCTAAAGAAAGGAGCAGGGAGAGGCCTGGAAGAGGCAGCCGATGCTAACGAAACAGGCAGGAGCCAGATCATAGAGACACAGGCAATTTGCAGACCAAGTGCACACGGCCTGAGGGTGGCAAGGACGAGGAGTGGTCACTGGCACAGGCTCCGGGCTCAGACAGCTGGGGCTCCGCATCCCAGCTCAGCAGCCTCATACTCCAGCTCCTGAGGCAAGTTGTTTCCACATCTGTTTATCCTATCAGGTTGTTGTGACACTCATAGAATTCATTTAACAAAGTATCTGGCATATAAGAAAACTAAATGGGGGCGCCTGGGTGGCTCAGTCGGTTAAGCCTCCGACTTCAGCTCAGGTCATGATCTCGCGGTCCGTTAGTTTGAGCCCCGCGTCGGGCTCTGGGCTGATGGCTCAGAGCCTGGAGCCTGCTTCCGATTCTGTGTCTCCCTCTCTATCTGCCCCTCCCCCGTTCATGCTCTGTCTCTGTCTCAAAAATAAACAAACATTAAAAAAAAATTAAAAAAAAAAAAAAAAGAAAACTAAATGGATGTTTATTTAGACAAACAACCAAACTTTATCCCTTTATCCTAAACCACCTGAGAAAGATCTACACGCTTCGGGATGATCAGTCATGTGGTTGCAAGGCTGGGCTGGAGCAAGGAGTGGGACGTAAGCAGGAAACCCTATTGAGAAGCTGCCGCTCATCAAGCAGAATTCATGATGAGAAATGGGAGACAACTCCTAGGCTTCCAGCCTGGGCAACTTCTTCAGAACAGGAGCAGGTCAGGGCCATTCTCCAAGATAAGAGTTCATGGTAAGGCTAACTTATTTCACGATAAACCTTGAAACCAAGGATGGTGTTACAGACTCAGGATCCTTACACCCTTTCCAGCTAATTCACATCACCAAAAGAGCCTCATTTCACACACCACTCACCTTGTATTGCTGCGAGTCTGATGGAAATAACTTCAGAGCTTCCTTATACAAGTTTTTATCTTTTATTAAGTTTAAGCATTCTGGGAAGTATTCGGGTCCTGAGGAGTGAGATTCATGCACACACAAATTTAGGACTTTGGAAGCATAATGAGTTTCATTTACACCAGTGGTCTCTAAACAAAGTCTACAAGGGACCTTTATAGACCTGCAGAATCAGACTATCAGGAGAACAGAATCCAAGAATTTTAATTTTAGCAAAGCACCATGGCAGATGTGAGGTATGACAAGCACTGGTTCGGATGAAAGTTCTACTCAAAAGGAATTCTTCATACACGACCCCTGATAAATGACCATCTAACCTTGTGTTTTCTCAACTGCCTTCATTGGAATCCTCTGGGGAGCTTATCAGCCATACAGACGCCTGAGTCCTATCCCAGCCCAGCTCAATCAGATTGTTGAAGGAAGCTTAATAACACCCAAACAACTTCCTTATCCCCATCTTAGCTCTCGGGAAAGAGCCACAACTGCTGAAGCCAGCAGCTCCAGCATGGGACAGGGAGTGTGTCCTTCTGGGAGCTGCCAGTGGGTATGGCCACTCACTCCAGACAAGCCACGCTTCCCACAGGTGTCTGTAAACACCGTGGGAGAAGAGTGCACTATCAACCAATTTTCGTTCCGAGATACTGAAATGATTTTAGGACGTGATCATCCTTAACCCAAAACGGATCTGCTCTATATTTTTAGTTAGGGAGCTCCTCCAGTTCATTAAAATTCATTTGCTTTGCTTTCAGCTTTTTAGAACATATGATAAAATAAGGTGCACACAGGTAACCATGTTTCGGTTTCAGGAGTGGAAACTGACATCCATCTACATCTATGTCTAAACTGACGCTTTAACTTATACCCTGCCTAGCTCCAAAGAAGATCTGAAGCAGAAATAAACATACTAATCCTCACGCTTACCACATCTGCTGAGATGCCCAATGGCTTTTTCATATCGCTTCAAGTATTTATCTATGGTGAACCGCTGATAATTGGTTTCCATTTTCTTAAGTGTATTAAGAAATGGCAGATATTCTTTGGGATCCTAAAAAAACAAAAACCAGAAACCTAATAGGTCAGACCTTTACTGCTTATAATTACATTTACTTATAACAATACAAATGATATATAATAATTGTAACAATCAATAAACCCAAAGCTACAAAATTTTTAAAATATGTACTATGCTGATATATTAATTACATATTGTATAATGAAACTACATAAAACAAGTTTTGGCAAAAATGCTTTAAAATACAGGCATTATTTGTTTTCATTCAGAATAATGAAGATGAATTCTCATATAGTCTCACAACAACCATTTATTTCCTAAGCTAATAAGGAAAACAAGGTTCCAATCCAGAAGATATTCAACAAATGCATCCAACTTCTCTGGAAGTGGAAGGTACTTGGAGCTCTTTGCATGACATTTCATGCCCTCCGTCTTCAAGTTTTAAAACAAAGGTAAAACTGTACTGAGTTAAACACAAAACTCTAAGGCCCTGCCAACCAAGATTTTATTAGCACTGACTGTCTGCAGCTTTGTACTATGCCCTGAAAATTGTTTTGTTTTTTTTTTCTAAAACAGACGCTCCCTGTTCTTAATGTAATTTCACTGGGCAGATAGGATAAATACACATTAAGTATACAAAAAAAGACCAGAGAAAAAAATAAATACTCATGCATGTGATAAAAAGCACAACTACAGGCCGAAGTATTTAATCAACAAACACTTAGGAAGAATTCACTATGTACAAAAAATACAACAAACCCCTAACCTCAGGAAACCTATATAGAGGAGCTAGAATGATACGGAGGGAGGGGCAGGCACTGGGTGCAGTGGAAGCACATGAGGCCCATCTCATCTAGTCCCTGGGTGGTGGGCAGGGAGGCAAGAATGGATTACTGGGAAGATGCTACCCTGGCATCCTTTGCCTTAGGTGAGTGAGAATTAGCCCGGTGAATGGAAGGGTGAGAGTGGTGAAAGCCCACAGGCCCACGGGAAGCAGAAGTAATGCTACCTGCAAAGCTAAGTGGTGGCTGTGGGGACAAAAGCACTGCCTCCCCTCTGCAGGCTGAGAAAAAAGAACAACCAACATCAAGAGATGAGCATAAGCATAGACACCAGAACTGGGTGGGGGACAAGGGGGTGTTAAGCAGTATTACGGCTTGTAAGCTCTATCCTACAGCAATGGGCAGAGCCCATGAAGCATTATAAGCAAAACAATGAAAGAGCAAAATTTCCTTTCAGCAAAGATCACTCTGGCAAGAGCAAAGAGAGGAGTGACAGGATGAAACTAAGACTACAAAAAACAGGTTAAAAAATATATAGGGGCACCTAGGTGGCTCAGTCGGTTAAGTGTCTGACTTCGGCACAGGTCACGATCTTGCTGTTTTCGAGTTTGAGCCCTGCATCAGGCTCTGTACTGACAGCTCAGAGCTTGGAGCCTGCTTCAGATTCTGTGTTTCCCTCTCTTTTTCCTGCCCCTCCACTATTCAATGCTGTCTCTCTCTCTCTCTCAAAAATAAATAAACATTAAAAAAAAATTGTTTTTTAAATGTATAAACCAGGTGTGCCCCAACTTTTCTACTATAGCATGCTAAGGTGGGACAAGAGGCCTCAAACCTTTCCATTCTGCATGTTCCCACTTTCCACTGGGAAAAACAGCTACATAATAAGGAACTGGATTGGAATAGGAGTCATTTGCTGTATTCCCTTTATAAGAGGAGACTTTGTTCACATACATGACCATAATCTTAAAGATAACGAAGTAACTTAATTCACTTGTTCAACCTAGCATTCAAAACACTTTGATAAGCCCAGAACTGACAGAGAATGAGGCTTAGAAGCGTGAGCCCTGCAAACTCACAGATCTGCCTCTAGGCCTGTACATGCAATGTTAACATCCGACAAGATACTGCAGTATCAGGGACAGACAGGGTTTCATACCACCATGATAACAAAAATAAGAACCAAAAGGATGTTAAAGTGGAAAATCCACATACCTTCTGTGACTTCTCAGCTACCATGAGGACCAAATCAAAGTCATACGTCCCAAGAGAATGATCATATAATTCATTAACGTCTACCAGAAGCAGCAAATACTTCAGGGCTTCTTCAGCACTCACAGCATCGGGAACAGGCGAAGCACTGCCTGTCATGTCAGTGTGTAAGAAAACAAGACCAATCAAAGCCATTTGGGAATAAACCCATGCATCTAGCAACATAACCAAAAAGACAAAGTAACAAAATTTCTTGGCCGAACTGAACACCATATGAGTTCTTTTGTACATGCTTTGTAGGGCAGCGCTCAAAGAAACTGACACAGGTCTTCAAATGTCCAATAAGCCACATATTAAATCTGTGATGTGGCACTGAACCTGGTCAGTGAGATCTCCAGAAGACTGGAAGTCTGGTGACACTCGGGGCCCTGTTAAACACTCTCCGTGAAAGGGTCTCTACCTTGAAGCTCGTGTACCTTCTGCAGCACAATTTCCAGCTCTGGGGTTGTTTTCTTCACGTGAGAGGTGAGTATTGACAAGCAGTACCTGAGGTAGTGAGTGAAGAACGCCAGAATGAGCAGAGTGAAGAAGGACATTCTCAGTCCCTGCGTAAGGACAACAGCACACTTCTGGGCCTCAAAAAACGCCAACTAATGACAGCACACATACTTGTGAGGGTTTATGCTCTCCATGGCTGCTCTCAGAGCATCGCAGATAAGGTCTACTTTTTTCCCATCAGGATCCTTGGACAGCTGGGCAGTGCTGGTAACCGGTGGAGGATACATGGTCTTTGTAACGTCTTCTTCCCTAAGAACAGGTCATTAAAAGGTCACTAACTGAACATGTGTCCTAGCTATCAAATGACTACCACGTACTGGAACATGCTGATGAGATAATAAAAATGGCTTTTGGAGAACAGTTTCATTATATTCACATTAGATGAAAAATGAAGAAACAAATTGAGCAATGAAAACGTGTCCCAAAAACGGTGTACAGTGATATATTCACATTAGCCCCTAACTGGGAACAGACCAGGTGCCCAACTAGAGAGGAACAAATAAACAAATTGTAGTATATTTGCACTATAGCACACTACATGAACGAACCCGTGATACCAGCAAAAACACGGGTTACTTTCAAGGTAACATGCCGAGTGAAAGCAGCTTAACTTACAAAGAAGAGCAAATAGTATCTGATTCCACTTACATTTAAGTTCTCCGACAGGCAAAATTGATCTACGGTGACAATCTCCAAACAATGGTTGCCAAGGAGGTAGGGAATGGGACTAACAAGAGGTTTGGAAGAACTTTCTGAGGTGAAGGAAATGTTCTCTATCTTGACAGGTTTGGGCTACACGGAAGTACACACTGGTCAAAACTGCCTAGACAGTACACTTATGGTCTGTACATTTCATCACACATGAATCTGACCTGCTGGGGGGGGACCCTGTACACGGAGAATGCACTCTAATCAGTGTTACACAAAGTGGAATACTGAGACATAAAGTGGACTGATATCTACAATTAACTTAAAATTTGCCTCAGGGTGCCTAGGTGGCTCAGTTGGTTAAGTATTCGACTTCGGCTGACGTCATGATCTTGCGGTTCACGAGTCTGAGCCCCACACTGGGCTCTGTGCTGACAGCTCAGAGCCTGGAACCTGCTTTGGATTCTGTGTCTCCCTCTCTCTCTCTGCCCCTCCCCTGCTCATGCCTGCTCTCTCTCTCTCTCTCAGAAATAAGTAAAAACATTAAAAGAAATTTTTTTTAATTTGCCTTAAAAAAGGTGAATGATGGATAGACAGATGGTAGATCATGATAAAGCAAATATAGGAAAATATCAACTGCAGAATCTAGGTGGGGGTATAGGATGCTCGCTGGACGTCTCAACTTTTCTTGTACATTTAGAATTTTTTAAATTGGAAAAAAGTCATTGCAGAAAAACACACCATTTGACTTCAATTTCATATACACCTAAAAATAGTCAATTATAATTCTAAAGGACACATTTTTGAGTCTTAGTTTTAAATAGGCTATTTTTAAAAAGAAGGAAAAAGAGCAAATATCTACTGTCAGTGGCATGTTATACTTATAATGATTAAAAAATACCAAACAGAAGGTTAATTTTTTTCCTGTAGCTGTTTATGTTTTATTTCCAAAATGAGATAAATAATGGATATGATACTCATAAATCATTCAAAATACTTACTTCAATTCTGTGAAAAACAAATTGATATGATTTACAGAATCTATCTGTCTTATGAAGGTTTCCACATTTTCAAGAAATACCTACCAAAGACAAAAAAAGGACAAAAAATTTTAGTTCCAATCACGTCAGTTCAAGACTCAGGTAAGCTAGAGTTAATATCAGATTCAGAAATTTACCTTCGGGTTATGGTCATGGATCAGATTGAGATTAATTCTCAATTTTCTCATGCATTCAAATGCTTCTTTAAACATAAGTCTGTGAAGAGACATAATGAATAGACATGTCATTTTACAAAGACTAATAACCTTCCTGGATCCAACATGTTTTCATTATGATACAAACCAGTTATAATTAGATTACAGTCCAAATGCCAAACAACTACCACTGGACTTCCGCTCTCAATTCACAGAATGAAAAATCAGGTACCAGCTTCACTTACCTTCTTCACTTAACTTAGTCCCCATGGCAGTCTGAGGACTACTTCCCCACATACACATGATAGACAATCATCATAGAACTTAGGTCTACTTTCTCTTTTAGCAAAATGTTAGTAAAGGTCTTTCTAATATAAAGTTTTCCCAAAATAAACTCAGACAATGGATCATTTCCTTCACAATAGTGTCTCAGGCATTTGTGGGTCAAAGGCCCCTCTGTACATCTGCCCAAAGCCTTAGGCCTTCTGCCTGAATAAATACACACAGACAGTCTGGTGCACGATTTCCCTGGGTTTGCGGGCCATCTAAAACCCATGTGGACCTCCTCAGGCTAGGAAACCCTGTCTTGTATGATGAGTCTCACGATTCTTCCTACTAGGAATATTTATTGCACCACATAATATTAAAATCAAAGTGTGGGGGGAAAAAAGCCTCTGAGAATCTGAAGACATGTGTAATTTCATACTTTCATGTTTTAAAAATTTTAATAGAATACATATTATGTTCACATATAAGTCATAACAACAAACAAACTAGTCATATACATGGTTCTTACTTGTCCAGCCACTTCCGAATCTGAGCTAAAACCAGAGCTCGATGATGAACAACTTCTAAGTTTCCCCTTGGCATCTTAAAATAAATAAATCAGAACAGTAATGTTTTTAATTTAACAGAAAAAATTTAAATACCCAGGATATACTATTTCACCTAACTCAACTCTTCACAGAGAACTACCACAATACTATAAAATGCGCACACTTCCAGCAGAATCTAGTTGTGCTCAGTAGTTATTTTGACTTCCAAGAGATGCTTCCCTTTTACCCATGCTGGGCACAACCTGTATCAACAACCTTTGTATAAAGCTAACAGAGAATTCAGCAAGGAATGGCCTATAGTAAATTATTACAAGTGTAAGAGTATCTAAAACGCAACCAGAAACACAGCCAGAAAAATGAGCTTACCTGTAATATAAGCTTGGTGTCCTGGGGCACAACGGTGACAATACGTGAACCCCTCTCCACCTTCCGCAGAGATTCCCCTTTAGACACGTGGTTGTTGCTCAGACCTGCATGTAATGCTAAAGACACCACTGGCTAAGCCATGAGAATCACCGTCATGACAAGCCACTTTCCATTTACTGCAGTTGAAACTGAACATATTCTCCAAACTACAAGAAAGCAATTAACAACCACATCCCTTTGCTCTCCCACTCAACCACAAAACCGGTAGCCTTCCTAACAAACAACCTTATCCCTGGAACTTGCCCTCTCGTTCACAGAGTCCTCGTGCATATTCACATACACAGCTTCTCAAATGATTTAGAAAACACAGGGAGGACTGGGCAGCTTCTCTATGCACATTATCAGTACACTATAATCACATCTGTGAAATTCCCAGTTTTCAAGTTGGAAGGAAAGAAAACAAGGGGAAGTTTTCTAAAATAAGGAAAACACACAAACAGTAGGGGGAAGGGATACGTGGAATTCAAGAAAAAATGGGACAGTTTCCTACAAACCACTAGATAGAGTCTTTCAGATATACGATGGAGGGTGGCCACAGTGAGCAAAGGAAGATTACAAAGAAGTGACAGCCGGCTGTATCTACATGGTAACTCAAAGTACAACACTGGATTAGTTATATACTCCTGAGAGCAGTTTTGTTTAATTTTACAATGTTCTGGTTGAGGAAAGACCTCCTTCATTGGAAGTCTTTGCTAACTGGCATAGAATACTGAACTGAGATACTGTGTTGTGATTAGGGGCCAAGTATATGAACTCTAAAGGTTTGCTCACAGTCTAGGACTCTATGATAAAAAGCCAAAGTAAGTGGTGAACTTTAAAGTCATCAAGGCTTCAAAGGGCAGAAGATATTAGAAAAGGGACTATTTCCTAATTTATACACTGAACACTTACTGTTAAATGAAGCATCTCTCAAGCAAAAACACAGGCAGGTATGGGAATGGGTTGTCAACAACAAGAATTCACCATATACAGCAAACGATGTGATATTTGAAGCAACCTACAATAAGGCAAAGGGGAAAGTTAGCTGTATTTCTTGGAGCCGACAGTAAAAAGGATCCTGCACCAAACCCAGCCTTGATACCTCAGTGTCACTGATGAAAAAGCGGCATCTGTCAGTCAGACCAAGGACACATTCCTGCAAAGAAACAAAATTGAAATTACAAACAATTCTAACCCAACTAGTTAAACCTGATTTGTCTATCACATAGTTCTATTGCCCTGTGGCTTCACCTGTAAGCCCACGTCATCAAGACTGAATACAGACACCTGAGATGGTGAATACAGACTGAATACAGACACCTGGCTCAGGGCAAAGTGGAGCAGCATGCCATCCAATCCATCAGCAAGCCCCATGTTCCCATCTGCTACATGTGTCTCGCCTAGATCCCTTTCTGCTTGTCACCACCTCCTCTCCAACAGTCCATCCACTCTCGGCCCATTCCAACCTACTCTCCACTGGGCAACCAGAATAACCTTTCAGAGCATGAAGCAGATCGTACCATTCCCTGATTAAAAACAGCAACAATTTTCCAATCTTTGTGAAATAAACAAACCCACACTCCTATCACAGCCTATCACAAAGGTCCAGCCACACTGCTTCCACTCAGTTCCCTGAATAAGCGGGGCTCTTTCCAAGTTCAAGGTGCATGCAGTTCCTTCTCCCTGGAACACTCTCCCTTTCCCAGGGACAGAGATTTCTTTCCCTTCATACCTCAGCATGTAACCCATGTCAGAGACGCTTTCCTGTACCATCTTCTGTTAGCCCCCCAAACCACACCCTGGTCATTTCCTTCATTCTCTTATCAGAGGGGATAGTCATACCCACATTGATAGATTACAAATTCCAGAAGAGCAGGGATTAGTTAGCTGTTTTGTTCTGTAACCACTGTATCCTATCATCTGCCATAATTATAGACATTCCAATATTTGATGAATCACAACCCACGGAACACTATTTTCGAGATTACATTTCTGTTGTCCCCAAACAGCATTTAATAAAACTAACTCTGAATTATCTACACAATAGGGCATAAAAGTCTGCCAACAGCATTTTTCCATCTTTTAATTCATACCCCCAAGGAAAGGAATCAGCTAACTCCTACATGTCAGACAATCTCTTAATTCCATTTCATAGATGAAGAAGCTGAGGCTCACTGTTGCCCTGAGAGTAAGTGGAGACTTTTACCTAATGCCATCAGTTCCTGGGCCACTGTTCTAAGTGGTAAGTCCTTCTGCTCTGTGTTCACTTACCTCTCCTCCAATCATGGCCAATTCAGTCTGTGTGCAAGGATAAGGAAACCGAACAGGAAATCCACTAGGGTTCTTCCATGGTTCAACAGCCAGAGAGGGTGACTCTGCAGGATGGGCAGCTGAGGTTTACAAAGAGTTGGTATGCTCACTGTAAAATACTGTCACATCAATACTTGCTGGAACACTTAACATGCAATTTGGATCACTTTCCAAGTGTATTTTGGAAACTCATACAATACTCCAGTCCATTACAGGAGAACACAGAGGGAGAATATACCTGCCAATTCCACTCTACAGCTTTGGGTTTTCCAGGATAGTTAAAAGACCTAACAGTCAATGCAGCACTGACAAGAAACTCACAAGTACACATTCTCAAGAATTAAACATTTATCATAAACACACTTTCCTCACATTCTGATACTCACCCCAAAGGTACTTAAGCATTTGGCCACCAGCCAGCTGCAGTGCTACTGACTTGGTCTTGGAACTGCAACACAGACTGATTATGACTCCATCCACTGCCACAGATGAACTGACAAAAGTAAAAAAAAGGGGAACGGGGGTGTGAACAGACTACTTGATTCTCAAAAGTAGTAGCATTTCACTCATTTTGCAAAATGAAAAAAGAAGTAATTTCCCTTTGGGCTGCACTGCCTATTTCAATACAATATATACATAATGCATACACACAATGATAAATACTGCAAGCAGGGGCCCACATAAATTACCTGTCACACGACACTGTTTTCCACAATGCCAATAAGCTAGGTGTCTACACTGTGAGGTCATCACTCCCATCTGGCAGCAACTTAATACAATTTATAACAACTTAGTCGCCTTCACTGGACATGCATGGTATCATTTCTGTCTCCTTAAAATATACATTGCCTTAAATAAAGCAGTGAATCTGTAGAAAAATGAGTACACTCAATATCTCTTATTGCTATCATATTCATTCATGACAGTCTGTGGGTCTTCATTAAAGGGAAGAGGAGAATCTGTTACTATCATTATGTATTTTCCTGCGTCGATGAACAGAAAATAGACATGTCTGGACAGAAGCAGAAGAGAACAATAAAACCAAATGTTGCTGATGCTAACATTCATTCAAAGAGTTTTTAGCCAATCTACGAAAAACTCAAAATGCCCCAAATTTTGTGAGGATAAATTATCTGTGACTGGGTTAGGAGAAGAGATTCTGGAGTGAGAATGAATGGGACTGGATACAGGCTCTACCTGCATGATCCCAAGCAAGTTACTTAACTGCTCAGTGCCTCAGTGGTCTCAGCTGTAAAACACGGGTGCTAATGATACACACTTCGAAGAGGTAATGTCATAAGTAAGTGAGTTACTGTAGGTAAAGCACTTAAAAGAGTATCTTTTGCAAAATACAAGCTACAATAAATGTAAGCTATTAAGACCTGTAAGCTGATTGAGGAACTTTATATTCCCTAATGACAGTAATATTTTGTATGAAGAGAATAGCCTTTTTTTGAGAAACAGAAGTCAAAGCAGCACAGATATATTTTAAATGACTTCTCATTTCCGTACAACAAATGAGATGACCTAGCTTTTCCTTCTAGGAGCTAATGATAAAGAATTTCAGGGGCGCCTGGGTGGCTCAGTTGGTTGAGTGTTCGACTCCTCATTTTGGCTCAGCTCATCATCTCACAGTCATGAGATCGAGCCCCTGCACTGACAGCACAGAGTCTTGGAACTCTCTCTGTTTTTCCCCAACGAGCATGTGCACTCTCTCTCAAAATAAATAAAAATTTTTTTAAAAATTTCAAATTTGGAGAAGCAGAAATTTGTACCATTTAGGTATTTCTGATGTAAAGTGCCTTGTTTTTTATTACCTTATTTTTTATTAAGTTTTTATTTCAATTCTAGTGTAGGTAACATAGTGTTGTATTTGTTTCTGGTGTACAATGTAGTGACTCAACAATTCCATCCATCACCCAGCTCTCATCACAACAAATACTCTCCTTAATTCCTTTCACCTATTTCACCCATCCCTCCCGTCTGCTCTGCTTTTTAAACGTAAGCTCCTGGCTACCTATGAGTGTTGCATATAGCTAGAACGTATCCTTTATACGGACATATTCATAAAAAGCTTTTTAAAAATATGAAGCACTTTGAGTCAAAGGTTAGGAGTTAATGACTACCTTATGTTTTGTGTATACTGTAAGGAGAGGTTCCTAATTTTGCAGCAAGGGTTTCTAGAATTAAAATCTAACCAGGAGACCCTGAATTACAAATGAGTCTGAGGAATAATATCAATTTAGGCTTATTGTGCCAAGTTTTGACGCTGGAAGCCTGAGGATTCTTGGAGCTGTCAAGGCAACACCATCGACCTCACAACAGGGCTTGCGTTACAGAAAACAGCACCCATTAAATGAAACCTGTTTTGAGACACAGATGCAGTCTGGAATCAAAGCAAAACTCAGGGGCCAGGAAGCAGTGAAATTTAGCAAAGAAAAACAGACACTCTCTAATAGTAAATGCAGTCAAGCACCAAAAAGAACATATAGATGAGGAAGCCAGAAGAAGCATCTTAAAGTCACTATATTAAATGAAGCACACAGATATAGACTGAGACTGGGTGGCTTGGTAGGGTAAGCATCCAACTTCGGCTCAGGTCATGATCTCACAACTGGTGAGTTCCAGCCCCACATCAGGCTCTGCTGTTAGCACAGAGCCTGCTTCGGATCCTGTCCCCTTTGCTCTCTGCCTTTCCCCGGCTTGCATGTGCACATGCACTCTCTCTCTCTCTCAAAAATATATAAAAACGTTTAAAAAAATTTATCACATCTTACAAAAGGTTCTGCCCCATCTATTGGTATTTGCCCTATGTTTCACCACTTCTTGATACACATTAAGGTTTGTATTTTGACATGACTCAAAACTACACTTAACCCCCTTGCTAAGTATATTTAACAAAGTTACTGCCCTTAACCTCACCCCCCAGAAGTCAGAAAAAGTCCTATACTCAGAAAAGACACAAACATAACTCTGTGTGATAACAGGGAAGTGCTACAATACCTAATACTGAGCTGTCCGGGCTCATCATCCGTCACAGAAGGCATCACAGTCAGATGGTGAATGACAGACTGTGGGCTGGAGTGACTGTGGCTTACAGCCAGGAAAACATCTTCCTGAATCCAGGTGAGAAGGCTGAGCTTCAATGGGTTTACTTCTTGATCTTCACCATTCTCAAACTGAATTCTGTTTTAATATTGAAGAATATCCAACACATAAATAAAACTTTAATATCACTGAGATTTTCCTAAATGAAGGAAGAATGAACCACCTGCTCACAGTCAACTAATTTGGAATGACAAAACCTGAAGTAATGCCAAATATTACAAAATCCAAACAGTACAAAATCCAAACATAATTATGTCTCCCTGGCTTAAGAATGTTTCTCGGGGCGCCTGGGTGGCTCAGTCTTAGCATCCAACTTCGGCTCAGGTCATGATCTCACGGTCCGTGAGTTCAAGCCCCGCACTGGGCTCTGTGCTGACAGCTCAGAGCCTGGAGCCTGTTTCAGATTCTGTGTGTGCCCCTCTCTCTGACCCTCCCCTGATCATGCTTTGTCTCTCTCTGTCTCAAAAATAAACGTTTAAAAAAAAAAAAATTTTTTTTTAAAAAAATGTTTTTCTATTTACTTAGATTTCTTATATTGAGATCTTTATATTGAAAAGAATACTTCAGGAAACTGACTACACAAGAAAATTACCTGCCCTAGGCCCTAGAGTAACAAACCCCAGAGGTTGTCCACTGCCACCACTTATTAGCATTCAAACAGGCTCCAGCAGATATCTGGGTCTCAGTAGAGTGCGTTATTTTTAAGTATTTCACATCAAAACGACTAATTAGCCTGAAAGATGGTATCTTGGCTTCTAACACCTTCCTCCTGTAGCATAATACATCAGAGGAGAGCACGTTTTTGCCACATCAGGCAAGAACTCGTAATGGCTACTTATCCTGCCTTTTAGCTAAAGTGGCAAGTCCTCAGCACGCACTGAAGAAGCTAGATCACTACCCTGCTCTTCACACCCAACCAGGTCTCCCTGGACTCAGCCCCTCCACTGTGTTCTTCCCCACACAGGGGCCTTCCCACCTCTGGTTCCCACCAACACGTTTCTGCCCACCATAGCCAATGTTCCTGGACCATCTCTGCCAGTCCTAGCCAGATCTGTTCTTTAAGGACCAAGTATTCAAGTCCTTCATAAAATCTTCTAAATGACGTGGAGCTATCCTTCACTCAATTTTTAAAAATGATACTATATTCTAAATTGTCACACTGGGGCACCTGGGTGGCTCAGTCGGTTAAGTGTCCAACTTCAGCTCAGGTCATGATCTCATGGTTTATGAGTTCGAGCCCCGCATCCAGCTCTGTGCTGAGAGCTGGGAGCCTGGAGCCTGCTTCAGATTCTGTGTCTCCCTCTCTCTCTGCCTCTACCCACTCAGCCTCTGTCTCTCTCTCAAAAATAAATAAACATTAAAAAAATTTTTTTAATAAAAATAAAAAAATAAATTGTCTCACACTTCCAAGTTTGCCTTAAATCTGCCTCAAGCAGTTTCAATTCTGTGAAATGAAATAACCCACATAAATGTTCTTCGAAAATGACTAAGCGTTATACAGACAGCCCCCATGTTATACACATTTATTAAACATATTGCATATATTTAAGAGAAATATTACTTATTAAATTCAGCTACTTATTTTAGCCTGTTTATTATTCCTATTAACTTAAAAATAAATGGTCTCAGGAGGCAGTATTTAGTAATTCAGAACATGGGCTTATCAAATAGAATAATCAAATCCTGGATTCTCACAGAAGTGGTATTATAATTAATAATTGGCTTCAGGGTCATCTTACAATGTCTACAGTGTACCTGAGATACTGAGTTATACCCAATCATTTATATTACTGTTTCAGTGGGAAAATGCATTCTGATTTCCAACCCGGGAGACTCAAAACACAGCAACCCAAAGTTCTGGAGTGTGGGATGCGACAAAGACAGAGACCGCATTCAGTCTGCCGTGTGGTAACAACACGGGCCCCCTCACGCATGTAGGCATATGCAGCTCGGCCCTATCATCCTCATCTCCACCTTTACCGTGTGGTTTTCCCTGGCGAGCCAAGGGTTGTCAGAGGAAGTGGGTTCTAAGCCAGCTAACAGCTTGGCTCCACAGTCACCCATTAGCATATGGCATTCAGATATCCAGGTAACTGACTTCCCGAACCAGAATGAAAAACCAGGGCCCAGGGGTTCAATCTACTTGTTCCACTCGGCTACAGGCACAGGTTAGTAAGAGTAGGCTGAATTTAGAACTAAATGCTGTTCTCGTGGTCCAAGGTAATTAAGAACAACCTACTTGTATCTCTTTTCCAGATGAGGTGTTCCAAGAGAAACTTTAAATCCATTTCCACCCACAGCTCCCAGTTTCACTGTAGGGTCCACACTTGGACTATCACCTAGAAAACAAAAATGCAGACACTATCGTAGTAAACAACACACATTTTCCCTGGTACTAAGGGTACTGAATCCTCATGTAATAGGTTCTAGAAGGTAATCCACTTTAGCAATAAAGCATTCTAGAAATAACATCTCAACCTCTTTCTTAAATCTCTGCATACCTTTCAGGCTGGGGATTCAGGATGCTTTGAAAACAAGGCTATAGTATCACGTGCCAGTGTAATTTACAGCATGCCACTGAACTCACAAATAAAAAAATCAAGAGAGCAAATAGAAGCTGGCAGCAATGGGACTGTGGAAGGGCAAGTGGATTAGAAGCTAGAACACCTAAGCTAATGTCCTTGTCCACTCTTGCTCAAGCAAACTGCAAACATGCTGGCATTCTCTTCCCTCCCCTACAGAACAGAAAAACCCCAGCTCTGACACCACTCATAGGAAGGCTGTGAGATCAACTGCAAGTATGTGAAAAAGGCTATGAAAACTGTAAAATGTGATAAAGATGCATTAAGATACTACGCTACTTCCAGGGTTGAATGCTACTGTTAAATAACTAACTTTTCAAGTTCAACAAGCAAAACGAATTGCTTTTATAAGCCAGAGTAGGATTAACCCCCTCCCATTCCAAACCCCACAAGCCAATTAGATATCATCATAATAATGACATTAATCGCAAACTTCACAATTTTTAAAAACACTGGCAAGGCACCACCAAGGCAACACCATAGTATAATCTGCTTTTGTGTAGAAGGAACTTGGTTCAGAACATCTTGGTAACAGTTTTTGAACATACCACATTTATACACAGAAATCTGGTTACTGGCATCTAGGACCGCGAGGTCATTACTCTTCTGGGGGTGTGCAGAGAACATGACTTGATTCACAGGGTGTGGGAGCAGCAGCCGGTAGGTGCACATGGGAGGTGGAACTACACTCTGCCGGAAGACCGTCACCAGTACCCTGCCTGCGTGTGAGAGAGAAGACGAGATTAGGTAAGTGGATGTGTCCTTTGTAAAGTAAGCATCTGACAACACAGCACCACTATCTAATAACGGTGGTAGAAAATACACAGCAGTTTCTAAAAATGTTTGTGCTTTTATCATAAATAAACTTAAACACGGTATACAAGGAAAACTGAGTGTGTAACCTTCAGGCATGGAGCAGTCCAACTCTTGCAAACGAGGGCCAGGTGGCCAAGAGTTCTAGCTTGAAACCCGGGCCTGCAACCAAGCCAATGAACCAAGGGAAATGATTCCCTTCCAAATCCTTGAAATATTCCCCTACATGTTTTCAATAATAAGACATACCTGATTAAGTCCTCTGTACAGAGCATATGATTGTAAAATCAGTATTAGAACTACTGATTAGAACAAATCAGAACTAATTAGAACAAAATTAACACACCACTGCACATCACAATCTTATCAACAAGTTTTCCTTTACATTACCAGCGGTAAGTACACTGTCTATTGAAGTGACCCCTTCTTGCTCCAATTTCCTCCCCCTCATCAAACAAAATACACCAACCAATCCTCATACTAGACAGATATCTGTGACTTGAACATATTGGAGATTATATAATTAACAAATATTGTACCAAATAACAAAGCAACCCAAGTGGAATGGTGCAAGGATCAGTGTAAATCTGTGTCAGAGCAAAAAGGTAAGACTGACACACCCAATGCCACAAGATTACTGTTGTCGTCCTCTGTACCTGAAGTCAAAATGTTCAACGTCTTCAGAGGCCAGACAAGTAAATTCGTGAAGACCATGGATGGAGTTGGGCTGGGCAGGGGTAAGGATGAGGAGGAAGGATTATGGTTCTCAGGAGAACACAAGCCCTCACTAGGGGCATTCCCATCCAATCAAAACAAAACAACAAATAAGTAAAAATAAACCAAACAACCAAAGCACCAAACAAATGAAAATTCTCCAGTTTTAGTCAAACCATGACATCTGCACGAACAGACTCAGAATGCCCTACAGGCTCATGGACACGCTTTCCAGCTCCTTACTTCCATCAATGACAGCCACGTTTGCCATGTCGCTCGAATTATCTCCTGAGGTCCGGTCAGTCGTCCAGTGCCAGTCATAGCAGAGGTAATGCCAGCCCTGACAGAGAACATGCAGCCGGTACGGGGTCACCAAGTCCCACATCAGAGACACCAGCTTGCTCTTCCCACAGGTGCTGAAGGGCAGACTTTGCTTGAGATACCAGTGGTAGTTCCCAACAGTCCAGAGCTGCACTGCAAGGGGGAGACGAGACGAAGGCCATCAGGCTGGAGGACCAGACTTCATGCCACTTGCTAGATGGGGAAGAATTTTTTCTTTTTCAAATGACCTTTCCTGCTCAGCCTCTTCATTAAAATCATAATATTAACAATAATAACTGTCAAAAAGTAGTTTTCCATGGGGATAAGCTAAGGTCAGAAGCACACATGTTCAGTTTCCCTCTACTTTCAAACTTTAGGATCATGAGGACAGAAAGGTACTAGGACAACAGTGCTTTAGTGAGTTGTTTTTTCATAAAGATTTAGAAAGAAGAAAATTTGGCAATTAGATTAAAAGTATTAAAACACTCAATCCTGGATGTGAGGGCGATCTGGCTGTGACATCTGTCACCCCATTGATTGCCAGGGTTGATTCAGGTGATCTGGCTGGCTCCGGTGTCCCCTTCCTCCCTCACCATTCCATGTGTGTCCCTCCCAAAGCTATGCACTCCAAGAGGACAACCTTCCCTGATAGAGGAGGACCGTTCTTCAGTCAAGGGTATATGAGTAGCTGCACTCCCCTGCTAGAACCTCCAAACAAGCTCTCAAGGTCCATTTGTAGGAGAACATAGGGTAGTCAAGGTTCTAAGACTCCAGACTAACAGAAGACCATGGGGGAGGGGAAGGGGGAAAAAAAAAGTCACAGAGAGGGAGGGAGGCAGACCATAAGAGACTCTTAAATACTGAGAACAAACTGAGGGTTGATGGGGCGTGGGGACAGGGGAAAGTGCGTGATGGGCACTGAGGAGGGCATCTGTTGGGATGAGCACTGGGTGTTGTATGGAAACCAATTTGACAATGAATTATATTTAATAAAAAAATAAAAATAAAAAATAAACCACTCAATCCAAGTGCACTAGATTACTATCACTATGCTGTTTTAGGCTCAAGACACTTATTATTTTCTTCCAGGCGCTTTACGTGCAGTTATGTCCACGGCTATCTGGTATTAAGCATGATTCAGCTATCCAAAGAAGATCAGTACTCATCCTTTACCAGCAATTATCCCTTCCAACATCTGTTAAAAGAATAAGACCTAATCCTGGGGTGGGAAGGAAATGGAGGAATGTTGGTTAAAGAGCACAAACCTTCAGTTATAACTTCAGGGGACCTAACAGACAGCATGGTCACCATAGTTAACGATCTGTATTGCGTACCTGAAAGTTGCTATGAGAGTAGGTCTTAAATGTTCTCACCTTAACAACAACCAAAATGGGAATTACGTGAAGTGAATGAAGCATGTTAACCAACTTTACTATGGTAAACATTTCACAATATATATGTGTATCAAATCATCACAGTATACATCTTGAACTTACACAATGTTGTAACAGCAATTAAATCTCAATAAAGCTCGGGGGAAAAGACCTGATCATGTTGAAACCAACCTTTATTAAAGAGAAAACACATATAAACACATATAAAACAAATGACTGTATTAAGGAATTTCTTTAAACATCTCCCTGCTTTTTTTTTTTAATTTTTTTGTTTGTTTGTTTTGTTTATTTGAGAGACAGAGAGAACAGAGAAGGCAGAGAGAGGGGGAAAGAGAGAATCCCAAGCAGGCTCTGTGATATCAGCGCAGAGCTTGATGCAGGGCCTGAACTCACGAACCATGAGATTATGACATGAGCCGAAACCTAGTCTGACACTTAACTGACTGAGCCACCCAGGCGCCCCTCTCCCTGCTAATTCTTAATTAACCTAGCAACCACAGTGAATGTAACCTAGTTCTCTAATTAAGCTATTAGAACACTTCTACCTATCTGTGGGTTGCTAAGTTAGACCACGTACTCATGCTCTATGAGGACAGATGATGTGACTTCTTGTGCAACACTTTTGTCCTGAATGTATCACAGCACCAGCCCTTGACACCCTGGCTCAAAACTGGTTCTCAACTCTGGCTGCACATTAACAATTGCCTGGGAGCTTTTTAAAAATTTTTTAATGTTTATTTATTTTTGAGACAGAGCACAAGCAGGGAGGGGCAGAGAGGGAGGGAGACACAGAATCTGAAGCAGGTTCCAGGCTCTGAGCTGTCAGCACAGAGCCTGATGCAGGGCTCAAACTCATGAACCATGAGATCATGACCTGAGTCGAGATCAGACACTTAACTGACTGAGCCACCCAGGTGCCCCTATTTTTTAATTAAGTACTGATGTATGGTCCCCATTCTAAAATTTTTTTTTTTTAAACGTTTATTTATTTTTGAGACAGAGAGAGACAGAGCATGAATGGGGGAGGGTCAGAGAGAGGGAGACACAAAATCTGACAGGCTCCAGGCTCTGAGCTGTCAGCACAGAGCCCGACGTGGGGCTCAAACTCACAGACCGTGAGATCATGACCTGAGCCGAAGTCGGATGCTTAACCGACTAAGCCACCCAGGCGCCCCTGGTCCCCATTCTAACACACTGACTCCAACTCTGAGATAAGGCCTGGATAGTAATTTTTTTCTAACGGAGCAGCCAGCATTGAGGTTTGTGTCATGAATGAATGAATAAATGAGCTTTTAAATAATATTCCAGTTAAAGAAAAAGTTCTGTTGATTAAAAAGTTTGGAAGCCACTTAAAAAATAAGTGAAATGCTTTATGAACAAAACGATTCGGTGCATTGCTGTTGATATGAAAAAATTACAAAACTTTCAACGCCTAATAGCATGAGATTTAATAAGGTGTGGCACAAATACCATACAGCAATTTAAAAGTATGCTGATGGGTATGTGAAATGGAAATGTGTTTGTGACTTAGTAAAAACAAGTTATAAAACTACACGTATCGTGCCTATATACTTAACAAAAATGAGATCACAGCCATACCGATACACGCACATAAAATATGGAACACAAGAAAATTTTAACAGTGCTCATTACTGAGCAAAAGAATTATGGAATAACTTTTGTTTCTTCTCATCTTTACTTTCTAATGTTTTCACATATTACACACACACCGAAAAATACATATTTACGATGTGATCTACAGTTAAAAAGGCATACAGACGACTCTTACTTATATCTAATGCCATTTGTCTTTCGCTGCTACAGTTTTCCTTTGGCTAGCACTTTAGCTTCCTGCATAACACCAGCCATGCAGAGAAAGCAATGACTTGTGATGGTTAATTTTACATGTCAACTTGGCTAGGCTATGCTGTCTAGCCATTTGATCAAACACTAGTCTAGATGTTGCTGGAAAGTATTTTGTAGATGTGATCACGCTTTAAAATCAACGGACTTTAAAAACAAAAGATTATTTCGTGGGTAGCTCTCATGCAAAGAGTTATGGCCTTAAGTGTTTATGGCGTTAAGAGCAAAAACTGAGGTTTCCCAGAGAAGGAATTCTTCCTCCAGACTGTAACACAGAACCTGCCCGAGTTTCCAGACTGCATGCCTGTCCTTACAGATTTGGGACTCAAGACTGCAACATCAACTCTTGTATTTCCAACCTGCCAGCCTGTCCCCCGAGTCTAATGTCTACAGAGAACCCTGACTGATACCTGACTAAAATTCATAAATAATCAAAACCAAACCACTCCCTCATCTCCACCTACCCCCTCAGTTATCTCTGATTCCACTACAGGACTAAGTAGAAGGGGTAAAGGCAATTCCACAGCCTACTTTCAATTACATTTCATGTGGCATAAAGCTGAGATACTAGTGCTGTCTTACCATAGGTTTTTAGAGTGCGATTTTCTTCCCTCTGAAGGTCCTCCAGCCAAACTGCAAGCACAGTGGAATCTGCATTCCAGAACAGGCCGTTTACCTAGTAGGGAAAAAAGACATGTCACTGGCCTTTAACTATATACATATTTCATAATCTTTACGAGAGCTAAATTCCCTGCTCTCACAAACCAAACACTTGAGCTGATCCCTAGCAATAAATTATAAACCTACAGAATCAGTATGAACATACAAAATCAGTATGAACCTACAGAACCTACAAATCTACCTAATAGATCGTTATATGCAGGGGACTTTAAAAAAAATGCGCTGTGGTTAAAAATTTAAGAGACTTAACAACCAAAAAGAGAGAGAGAGAGAGAGACAGAAAGAGAGACTTAACAACCAAATGCAAGTCAACAGTCTCAGACAATCAGGGAAATTTGAATATAGACTAGGTATTAGGTACTACTAAGGAATTATTACTAATTTTGTAAGGTGTGATCATGGATTTCTGGCTATACAAAGTATTTTCTTACCTGTTAGAAATGGATATTAAAAATATAATTTCCAAAATTAAAACCCCAGGAAACAAAAATGTGTGTGTGAGTGCGTGCGTGCATGCGTGCGCGTGTGTGTGTGTGTGTGTGTGTTTAGGCTAGAAAGGGGTGATTGGATGAAAAAAGCTCTGCAAAATGCTAGTATCTGTTGAAAGTAAGGACATGGGAGTTCATTAAACTCCTCTCTCAACCTTTAGCTTAAGTTCTTAATTTAAATGTAACATAATTGTATTTATTTTTTTAACATTTATTTATTTTTGACAAAGAGACAGCGTGAGCAGGCGAGGGGCAGAGAGAGAGGGAGACAGAATATGAAGCAGACTCCAGGTTCTGAGCTGTCAGCACAGAGCCTGATTGGGGGGGAGGGAGGTGCTCCAACTCACGAATCACAAGATCATGACCTGAGCTGAAGTCAGACGCTTAACTGAGCCACCCAGGTGCCCCATAAATGTAACACAATTTTAAATCATTTTTATGTTTACATAATTAAAGATCACCATTCAGTGTTTCTGCTTCAGTAAAAATCCTAATGGTACACAAGTGGCTTAAGGTTTAAATGTTATCAATGAAAAGTATCTATCATCGGAAGCATTATTTTTGTCCAAATAAACAATACTAATTAGGATTTCTATTTCTATCTATGTTTTAACTAGAGTAAGAAAGACTGCCATTTCTTTGCAAAACATCCTTCAAAACAAAAAATTCAGTTATAAGAAGCCACTATTTTTACTACTATCTACTCTGGAGCTTCTGTTTTATATGTCCACATCAGACAGAAACCTCTACAGCTGAGGAAAGTCCCCTAAATTTGATGGTGAAACAACTCAGGCACTTACCTTAACCTCATCTTTGAGGAAAGGAAGTGTAAAATGTCCATGAAGAAGGCCGTTTTTCTCAAAAAACACAATATCCTGCTGACTGGGTTTCTCTTGTGTGGATGCAATCAAACTACCTGAGGGCCTCAACGCAAACATTGAGTGTTAGAATGTCCAAAAGTGCAGCCAACTGCTAAGAACAAGACGAAAGTCAGAGAAACGATTTTTCCAACAAAAAACCTCTACCCAAGGAAGGTTTAAAGCCCACATGACTCTTGGCAAGCAGTTCACATTAGTGACGTACTCCACCTGCCCAGGGGATAGAGTGCCTCTTCGTGATTTGCTCAAAGGCTCCATCTGTCCCCCAAGACTACGGATTTAGACTGCACCAGTGTGACTTTTTAAAAAACCAATACATTATTTAAACTATTCTATTCTAAATATTACGTCCCATAAAAACATAATGTATTTCTCCTTCTGTCTATGACTTCAGCAACTATGCCATGCTCAGACAGGTATTTAAGACTTCTCAGCCTACTTAAAACTTCCCAATCACCTCCTCCTGTTTGTATTTGTCTCTATAGCTTTAACTTCAATACCTTTCTCTCTTTGCTCTGTCATCCAATTGTCACTCAAATACAGGTGGGAAAAAGATATCTGAAACTCAGAGACCTAGGGGTTTGGCATATAACAGATGCTACTGAGACAGAGGAGACACTTCTGTCTTTGACCAGGGCAGTTGCGGGCACTAAGCAAGAAGTTTACTGGGCCCAGATCCAGCCTGCATGTTCCTCAGCAAACAGAACCCTCTAGCCTAAGAGCTTGTGGCTTGTGCCGAGAAAAAAGCCCTTTTCCTAATTTTCACCAAAGCTCCACTGCCCCTGAGAGCCTTGCAGACTGTGACTTCCCTTCTAAGCACCATTTTCTGTTATACACAAGGATTTCATACAGAAGCTCCCTATAAGCTGTAAAATGTGTATATCTTGGAATGACATCTGTGAAGAAGCTGTGAATCTACTATTCAAATTGAATTCAGACTTCAGAAAAACTACAAAGAGAGAGATATGGGCCTACAGTCAAATGAGTAAAAGTTAATATCCTTTTGTGTTATATAAACACCTGTACCCAACAGGTATCACCACCCCTACCCCAGTTCCAAAATATTCGCTGAGGAAGAAGTTACAAGGTTTCTTTTCGCACTCACTTCCAAGCCAGAGCTGGTCCCAGTCCTGCCACAGGCTCACTGGTGGACTGTAAAGCAAACTCTCGGTTCCATACCCTCACTTTCCGGGCTCCTGGGTGGCAGAGTTAAAATAAAGAAACAGACACATTTAAAATGTTGTCAAGTCAGAACTGTTCCAACATCTTATTAATAAAAACTGCCATGGTTTTACAAAGCTAATTAGATTAATCTTGTTAAGAATTTGTACCCACAAGTAGGAGGCTGGAGCTGATGACCTCAAAGAATTCTTTTAGTTCTTAGCTCTAAATTCACTTAAAATCTAAAGCAGCACCTTGTATGTATAATTTTAAAAAGCCTAAGAAGAAAACCTTCTTGAACTTAATAATAAAATAAAAAATATTTTATTTAACTGCAATTTATTTCCATACCTGTCTCTGGGCAAACAACACTCACAGCAAAAAACTGGCCGTCACCACGCCAGGTCACTTGTGGTCTATGGTCATCCCAGGGCAAAGCCAACTCGTACTAAAGAGAGGAAGAAACACAAATGTTACTGGGGGACTTAAATGGCCCCAAATCAAACAAACCCCAGACTATTAAAGTTAAATCTTTTACATGACATTTAAGCTATCTAGAAAACCATCTTCATAGAATCGTCAGGTACTCTTCTAGAAGGCTTCTCAGACCCAGAAATCATCAAGAAACCAAGAAACCAAAACAAAATCCATCTTCACACATAAAAAAAGTGGCCTCCAAGCACAGCACCAGAGGAAAAGAGCTGCAGATCTGATACTAAACATAATGAGCTGAGGAATCTACTGGGTAACTACGGTAAGGAAATAGATGTTCTGTTTATCTAAATGTAAAGGGGTAGAGTTCTGGTTATCTGATTACTGTATAAGCTTTACAACAGTGCAGAGACAAGTTAAAAAGATGAGAGGAAGGTAGGAAGAGAAAAATCAGAGGCAAAAAAGCCAGCAGCAATGATGCAAACACGGAAGAGTTCTGTGTTCCGCAGTACAGGAGCAAGAAAGGGCTCTAGCACCACTTATATCCCAGTCCTGAAGGTCTTGAAGTCTTGAAGACAGAGGCCAAATTTGCAGGCTGGGGGACAAATGATCACCTGAGCATTCATTATCACACTCCCGTGACAGGGGGCAGCGGAACGGCATGAGCACCACACTCCGCACAGCGGGGAATACACAAGGCAGCCTAACAAGACATATTCTCAATTGGCAAAGAACACAAACCCTTCCCCTAGTGAAAGGCTGAGATGAGATAGGAGTTACACGGATTGTAGCCAGTAAAGATCAGTAAAGATGGAAAATGTAAATGACAAGCGGTGCATTATTGATCCGCCTGTCCCACGGAGCTCATGGAAATGTCTACATGGATACAAGTAATATGCTTTTCTATTTGCTCAGCCCAAATATTGGGATCATTCTTTCTTCTCATTCCACATTTAATCCATTATCAATAACTCTGATAGTTCTACCTTCAAAATGTATTCAGAAAAAAGGAAAAAAAATGTATTCAGAGAAAAGGAAAACAGAGTTTCATCCAAAGGGAAAAATCAGAAAAAGTACCTAATTTATGTATGTAGGAAAAATATACAAACATACACAAGAATGATCTACAGTGAATGCAGGATAGCAGCTCTTTCTGGGGAGGAAAGGGAGAGTATCTGGGAGGGATATACAAAATACTTCATTTCTATCTGTGATGATATATTTTTTAAACTGAGTATTAGTTATAATTATTCTTACACTGAAAAAAAAATACAAAGCAACTTGGCAATAAGAAAGGAAAAGGGGTCTTTCTAGAATGACTCATTCCGAGGGCTCTAAAGTTTCAGTTTTACTAAAGCAGAAGAGCTCTATCCATTATCAGCCTCTAACAGGACACCTAAGAGCTCCCGGTAGTTGGCAAAACTTGTATTTGTTCCAGTCAAGGTTCTGTTTCCATCAGACCAATCTTACCATTTGCACCTGAAAGGCCGCTTGCCGACCTTCTGATCCATGGAACTGCGTCTCCTTCCTGCCCCATCCCACAGTGATAAACTTGCCTAGAGAGCAATTGATAGAGAACATGCAAGACAACCAATAAGCTACATGAAATGAAATAAAAACAGTTCCACTGCTATTCTTCATTAAGTAGGTCACTGGCAATTACTTGGGTCCTCTGAGACCTCTCAATAAACTGACTAGCACTCAATATTTGAAAACCAATGTTCCATATCATACACAGCAGTGATTTTTGAAGAATCTGAAATGGTCTTATTTTGGAAAGCACTTCACTGTCATCTTATATATTCTAAATTCCCTCAAGGACAGTCAACAATTCCCACTTCACAAGTAAGAATGAAACATGAAGAATTTATGAGATACATCCATGGATAAGAACTTTAAACTCAACACAAGAGCTAGGAATAAAATTCTGATTATAATTATTTGGTCATCTAAATGTATCCAACCTTCCTGTCAGTGGTGGTGGGGACTGTAGATTAACGAATTCACTCCTCACACAGATAGAAAATGAGACCCTCTAAATTTGGCAGAAGCCAAAATTAGAACACAGGCTGTCCACCTTCCAGACTAAGGTTCTCTCTAAATCACAATATTTCTCTTGCATAAAGTATGCAGTCAGGTGCTGAAATAATGCAACCCTCTGTTCCAGTAGGCAGGATCAGGCATCTGCCTGCAACAGGTACTACTGACATGTCTCTGAAAGTATCAGGCAGATCCAGGACCCAATACTTCCCTCCTGCCATTGATTCTGACGAAGCAGAGCTGTTTGTAATTTTTTTTTTAAATATGAAATTTATTGTCAAATTGGTTTCCACACAACACCCAGTGCTCATCCCAACAGGTGCCCTCCTCAATACCCATCACCCACCCTCCCGTCCCTCCCACCCCCCATCAACCCTGTTTGTTCTCAGTTTTTAAGAGTCTCTTATGGTTTGGCTCCCTCCCTCTCTAACCTCTTCTTTTTTTTCCTTCCCCTCCCCCTCGTAATTTCTATATATTACAGGTCAGCATGACCATTTCCTGTATGCTCTGCATGGGTACATGGGAGTACTACAATAGCACACCTTGCATCTGTCTATGAACAGCAATGCTTACCCTGGTGCACACCCCCTGTGCTTCTATCTGAAAGTTTCCAGAGATGTAAAGGACCAACGAATGAAGCAAGAGAACTTTTCCAATGGGATCAGACAATAAGTGATGGGGTAAGAGCAGGGATCAGTAAACTACAGCCTGTATCTACATTTACAAATAAATTTTTATTGAAGCACAGCCATGCCCATTCTTTTATGTATTGTCTGTAACTGCTTTCACGCTAAAACAGCAGAGGTGAGTAACTACAACAGAGGCCATGTGGCCTGCAAAGCTGAAAATAACTGCTATCCCGCCCTTCACAGAACAAGTTTGTCAACCCCTGGGTTACAGGGAAAATATCTATTCACCACAATCACAGAGTGATGAGACAAATATATGTCTAAGACCTACGACCCTGACTTGGACCCCCTCTCCCTTGACTTACACTCTATTATTAAGTTTCTTCTGAAAAAGTCAGTGGGATTAGCCAGGCCAGTGCACTTTGTCATCCAAAGGTGTGCTGGTTACTCCCTCTGTGGCTGTCCTCAAAAAGGATGCCCAGGAGTCCCACCCTAGATCCTAGACTCTTCTAGCACCACACCTGCTCCTGAGTTAAGTTTACCTCCTCCCAAGACTATAAAGATTCCCTACATGCCACTGACTCCCAATCCACATCTCTGACCTCTCCTGAGCTTCAACCCCTTTTATTTGCCTACTCCACATGGTGATCCCACATGGCCCTTAAATAAATCCAGAACAGAACTCACCATCTACCGCTTACAAGTCAGCATTTCCCTACCTTCCCTCTCAGTTACTGGCATCTTTATTCCCATCACCTGAGCTTCTGACTGGAGCCCCATTAAACTCTTTCTTCCTCACCTTACATACCCAAACCCGTTTATTTCACATTCTAACTACTATTTCTAATTGGCGAAGACAGGAGGAGAATCATGTATACGTATTCCAAAAACATTTCTCAGATAATTCTAAAAACATATCCCCGTCCTCCCTGAAAATCAAATTTTTCCTGAACTCATTCCACCTTTCGGCCCCACATTCACCTTCCTTATCTCTTACCCGTTTCTTTTACTACCCCTATCTGATCACCCTGTCTCCAGTCTCTTCCCTCTCTACCAATCAATCAATAAATCCAGCATCATCAAAACCTGTCCAAATTTAATCAAAATCTATCCTGTTTATTTCAATTCACACTCATGTCCTGCCAGCAGCAATACAACAGTACTCACGGCTGCCTGAGTAAGCCATGCCGTGTCTATGAAGCATCCATGCCTGGCAATGGATGAATTTCCTTGCTTACACCACACCCCTACCCTCAACTGTCACCCACCCCACACCAATTTAGCCAAGACTCAGCTCAAGCCAGCTTTCTCAAGTCCTCCCTCTCCATTGCTCCCTTCCCCTCACACTACCCTAATACCTACACATGTTATTAAGGGACTCCTTAAAGGAAAATCTGAATTATCCACACCACCAAACACACTGCTGTGTTCACAGTACCTACCCAAAAATCACCTCTGAATAAATTATTTTTGAATAAATAAATGAGTAGCAACTTTCTAAATGACTTCTCAGAGCTGGGAGAACAAGAAGGCATGAGGTCAGTAATCAGTAAAAGTTAAAATCCCTTCTCCCCCATCCCTTTCCTCAACCGGGCCATCTACCTGGTGCCTTTGTGATGGCCAGAGCTTCCTATACTCAATAAACATCTCCTCTCTTCTCCCCTTTCAATACTCCCACACATCAGCTACATCTTAGGAAGAAAACAATCTGATGGTTCCCATGAAAATGGAGATTCGGGTCCAATCAGTAGGAACAAAGAAATCGGCCTTCTATCCCACCTCTCTTGTTTTTGCCCCAAAACTGTACCCCAGAAATGCTCGCTTTATTTTTGCTAGCACAGTTCCTTTCATTGAAGCCCCAGCCTAAGCCTGCCCTGAGGTTTGGGTAACAACTATGCAGGTGACATTAAGCAGATTTCTATTCCCCAGGTTACTGGCAACCTGAACTCTCAGAGCCGCAAACACCAGAGGAATGCCTTGTATGGTCTGGAAAGGGCTAAAGGACCTGGGCTACCAGACACTGATGCATGAAGCTTCACCTTTCATAGTTCTTTGGGTTTCTGAAAATGATCAAACCTGAGAGGAACTTCAGGTCACAAAATGTTTCAAAAGAAAGCTATACTCACTTTCACCAAAATCATCCTGGTGGATCTTCTGTTCCATGATGGGCTCAAAGTCTTTTGTCATCATAATTAGGGTCTGTTGACCTTGGGTGGGCACAAACAAGAATGATTTTGTTTTCACATAACAAATGTGCTATTTCATAAGTATCTACAGCACTGGAAGCTACAGGGCTGGAGTGGAGGAGTTTAGAGTGAGAACAGGAAAGACACAATTCACTCAAAATATTTTGACTCTCATTTGAAGGAAAAAAACAACAAAACAGCTCTGCCTGCCTAGGTAAGTTACCTGGTGCTTATTCTCAACTGTTTATGAAAGCTAACATGAAAGTCCACCAGCCCTCCTCCACCAACTTCACACTTCACCAAGGTTATCTCTTCAAATACATACCTCATCAGGGGTGCCAATTTACAGAAGCTCATCTGGAATGAACAGACTCAAAGGGGAAAAAAAGTAGTTTTCAAGAGCTTATGAAGAGGTCCTGAAAGAGCTAGAAGAGCAGTCTTCAGAATCTGTTTAATAACAATTCTTGCTCTTGGAACAGATTAAATATTGCTGACAATTTTACTGTGGACCTCAGAGTTTTTCCAAGTTTTAGGACTGTTTCTCATTTCCAAAAATTGAAACAGTTATAAGAAATAATTTTTTAAAACAATATACTAAGAGGTGAAATTTAAGTCAAAAAGAACAAATTCCCTCTAGATTATAATGATGCTATCACTGTTCAAAGAAATTTTCTGAATAAGTACCCCAAAACTTAAGCCTTTAAGGTATTATGCGTCCCGTTTTATAAAAGTCAGAGCGAGAGACCAGGGACAAGCTTACCTGTAGCAAGAAGCACCAGTTCTTGGTCAGGACTCCAACTCATGATGGAGATGCCACTGGCCACACTCCCCACACATTCCAGCTGCCATCAGTAGACAAAAGTGAGCTTTAGAAATACAGCTAACATATAGCTACAGTACAGCTACAGCCAGGCCAACAACTTTTTGTCAAGAAATACATAATGCAAAGACTCTCATTTGCAAAATACTTAAGTATTATGGCTCCTGATTTTTTCAACTTCTACACAAAACACGTGGCTTGAGGCTGCTGGAGATTTCCTCCTCACTGGACCCTTCCACTTACCTGGCATGTGCTGAGATTGCAGAGTATGACATCTCCGGAGGCTGTGGCCACACAAACAGACTCCTGATCCAGCAAGTCCTGAATGCCAACAATGCAGCCACTTCCGTCCTCTGGAAGAAAGCCTTCCGCCACTAAAGAAATTTCATTTTTCACCTTTCACCAAAACAAACACATTAGCAAGTTAGGCCAATAGACTTTCAAGACCAATTCATAACATTTCCAAAAATAAATGACTTTTTGATGCTTCTTTTCTAATATAAAAGTTTTCAAAAAATTTTTTTCTAGATTAAAATCCAAACCTTCATTTGAGAAATATTACAACCCTACAATCTTTAACAACCAAAAAAATAGTTCGCGGGGATACCTGGCTGGCTCAGTCAGTGGAACATGTGACTCTTAAATCTCGGGGTTGCAGATTCAAGCCCCATGCTGGGGATAGAGACTGCTTAAAAATAAAACGAAAAAAAAAAAAAAAGCTAGTTTATGGGACTTTTTGCCAAGCAAATACTAAACAAAAGCAAGAAGCCTGGTCTCAAAAAATGCCCAATAAAATATAAGGCTAGTAACTATGGTTTTCTAAAATTTCTATAGTATAGGGAAAAAGAACTAAGATTGTAATTACCTAAAATACATAAGTAGCAAAATATAGTTAAGGGAAGATATCAGAATCAACTCAAAGAGCTTTTAAATTTGCAATTTTCATTTGCATTCCCAGTTGTGATCCACTGTTATAAACAGTATTTACATGATAGAAGGGGTAAAAAGTAGAGCACCCACACAAAATATAACGTCAGAGTTTTGCCAACTTACATTTGAAACACAAGTAGAGTTAAAGGCAGGTTACTATTCAAGTAATATCTAATATGACATCAATATAAGGCAATGGGAATATTCATTTAGGAGGATACAAATTCAGTAAGATTTAAAATGAGGATTATGGGGGAAGTAAGTTTGGAAAAAGTAACTTACTTCTCTTGTGACGGGGTCTATTTCTATCAGTCCATGGTCTGAGCCAATGAGCACTGTCCTCTGTTCAGTTCGGAGAGAAAAGCACTGAGGTTTCCCTGGAGCCTGAATATCCCTGAACTCCAGGGTCCGAAGTAATTTTAGATTTCTCATGATGAAGCAATTCCTGAAAGTACAAATATCTCTTGATGAAGAATTATTACTCTGAGAGAAAGGAACTGCTTAATAGTGACAAATGACACTCAAATTAAGCAAAATAATATAGGGGCAGGGACATGGTAGTTAGAATAACCAAGAAAAAAAGAAAAAGACCTAATCCGAACCCAGAGGGTTGTGGTCGCAACCTCACCAACTCATTTTGTTTACCAATGGTCTACAAACGGAGGTTCTGAAATCTACTTTATGTTTTTACCCTTTGGGAGAGACAAGATCCTCAACTTTAAAATTTTTCTTCAAAAAGATTTAACATCAGTTATTCCTCAGGAAAGTTGAAAAGATCAAAATAAATAAGAAAACATCTTATTTTTGCATATTTGAGTATCTTTATAACCTGACTGATTTATAAAATCAGGGGTGTCTGGGTGGCTCAGTTTGTTGAGCATCCAATCATGATCTCAAAGCTCATAGATTAAGCCCCATGTCAGGTTCTGCGATGATAGCGTGGAACTTGCTTGGGATTCTCTCCCTCTCTCCTTGCCTCTCCCCCCGTTGCACACTCTCTCTCTGTCTCAAAATAAATATTTAAAAAATAATAAAATAAAATCATATAAAAATCCATATACGTATCCTATCAGTTGAAGAAAATCTAGAATAAAATGGCTTTAATATTACCAGGTAAATTTCTTTGTAAACTAGTTTTCCATGTTCGTTTAAAACATAAATACTGATATTTTTTAATAAAAGTATATACTGTTCTCAGAGAGGAAAAAAAAGACAGTACGATATTACGGCACTCACAATGACCAATAAATACTGAGGAGCTTGGTGACTTGATATAACTACTTCACATAATTTGGCTTTCCTGGCCTGGTTTTTATCAGTGCAATAGAAAAGGTGAAAAAAGTATGATAAATAGGAAACCTACTTTGGTCTGGCAAAATCAGACCTGCTTAAATATATAACATTAGCTAAGAGAAAAAAAAAATGAATTTTAACATACTGGATATTTATATTCAGATACCTTTAAAGTTTATACAGTTTATAACTGGAAGTCTAATTTATGTTAGGGGTGGCAACATACAGACCACAACGGCCTTATTATCACCTTAATTTTATTATCACCTTAATCCAAGATGAATTCTCTCATGTTGCATTTCATACATACGACAATGCAAGAATAAAGACGAGTTCATCTTCATACTACTACAGCACATAATGGTAAGCGTAATATGAAAGTACAACATGTAATGTGGCTTAAGAGGAAGGCAAGACCATACATCACATGGTGGGAGTGAGGAAGAAAATCAAAGCCAACAATGGTTTTGTAAGCTTTGGTGACATTTATATTCAAGAGCTTCTGGAAATTATTTGAACTGGTATTACATCATGTAGGTTTTTAATTTAGATCTAATTCTAGATAGAAAGCTTGGTTTTTCAAGAAATTTAAAAATTACATATCTTTATCTTTAAACATCATACAGATGACCACTGACACAGATCTGAAAGGATGGCTAGATGTGAGATGAGAGAATGCCTGGCTACAGAGGGGTAAGCGAGTGATAGAGAAGGAAGAAAAGAGAACAGATGGGCAAAGGGGTCCAATGTAGAGTCTCCAGTGTGTCTTTGATGCCAGTTTATCTAATAATCATGCTGTTACTGTCGCTATTATCAGATCATCAAATGTCTTCCTATGCCTCCTGTGAACTTGGCCTCTATTAACCAAAAACCTGTATATCCCTGGGGTCGAGAGACCCCAGGATAAGAATATGGAGGATCGAGACGGAAAGAGCTGAAGACTTTTTCCTGTTATCTTGCTACACCAGTCACTGTCGTCCCAGCAATGGGCCTCCATCCTTGAGGGGCCCTTGGTCCCAGTCCCTGGCACTCCCAGCACCAACCTCATCAGCCCCACTCCAAACGACACTAGCACTAACCCGGCAGTCTCTCTCCAGACACTGAAATCCAGAACACAGGACTCTTCTGAATTTCAGAGTCATCAACACCTGAAGTCAGAGTCCAGTTTTACGATGCCTCTCCTCCAAGATTAGGTCATGATAACTCCATCTTCCCTTGTTTTGAACCTAAGCCCTAAGCTAAGTGTTACAGCTACTTTCATCAGTTCACGTTTTATGTTACCTCACTGCTTTCTTTTGCTTCTTATTCCTCAAATAGCTACTTAACCAATTCTTCATGCTAAATTCAGTTGGAATATTGTGTGGTTTCTACTTTCCTGATTGGACCCTGCGTGACAAACATAGCAAACAACCGGAGTTCTCAAGTCACAGAGCTTCCAAAATCACCGACAAAGGTGAGCTATTAATTTACCTCGCACCAACCCAACCCTTCTAAGCTCAAAAAACTTCTTTAACTTTTCACACCTATCATCGTATTCCCTTATCTTCTCAGAAGCATCCCCTACTCCTTTTCAAGGCTAGGGAAGTAGCAGCCTCCACACTTCCCTGGGACCTCAACTTATTAGTACCCTTTCTTTTACATCTGCAATATCCAGCTCCTCAATGATGAAACCTTTCCCAGTCCTTAAGTGTGCTAAAGATCTCTTCATACCACAGATCAATCCTGTATCCTCTATGAAATTTCTGGCAACTCCTCCAGTCTTTCGCCTCTTGGCTATTATCGTGCCCATGACTACAAGTACCAGGCAGCTCACTAATGTGCTGACTAGATCTAAATGTCTAGTCCTGACCGTCCCCAAAGTGAACAACGAACCCACATTTTCAACCTTCTGATATTATCACCAAGATGTCTCGCAAGCACATCAAATACAACCTGTAAATCGAAGTACTGCTATTATCCTATTCAAGTGAGTTCCTCCTGCTTGAGGACATGGCATTTCTGTTCTCTCTGTCCCCCAAGATGAAAACGGTCTTTCCCTCGTTTTTGCTCATATTTCATATTAAACTATTCACTGGTTAGCTCTGTTGCTGTCAATACAGTTTCAATTCTTTGCACAGTATCTAATTAATCCCATGACCCGGTGTGTGGCCTACACAAACACCTACTAAGCTCTTGGTTAAGTGCTAGGATCTGAAGACAAGAGAGGACTCTGTCACTGCCTACAAAGAGGTCACAGTTTAAAGAGAGAGAGGACCACATAATATACCACATTAGGTCGAGAAGCACAGGGGGCACCTCCACGATAAAAGATGCCAGAAGCAGCGCGCAACACAAACCCAATTCACTAACAGTCGCACATTAATTGATTCGCTTTATTTGGTGCATTAATTGTTCAGCGATATTGTCCCCTCCTGCAAGGAATCCGGAGGCTGGTCAATGTGCCGACCGGGGAGCAACACGTCTTCCCCAGCATGCCGCTTGCCGCAGACCCCGGATGGCGCTGATGGCAAGTCTCCAAAAAGAGAATTTAAAGGCAAAGGTTATCACGCCATACTCCACTCCCGGGTTTCCTGCAGCAGGGAGAGTTTGCACGCTCCGGGGTCCTCTTCATCAGGACATCCCTTGAGGACACGCCAGGTTCCGTGCCCGCCCATGCCCCGGAGTGAGTCGTTCGAATGCTCACCTGCGCCGCGCTGCGAGGATCAGCAAACAGCGGTGCTCTGCCCACGCCTCCTCAGCCACGCGTAGCCTGCCCTTCCGGAGCCCGCCCGGGGCTGCACACACGCCCCTCTCGGTCCGCGGCTTTCCAGCTTTCGGGACGCGAATTGGGCCCCCGGGCCGCTGGACCCCCGGAGGAGCGGCTGGAGAGGGGTCGAAAGGACAACCCGTAAGACTGCAAAGAGCGTGCGAAGCAGACGGGACACACCAACAGCGGCGCGGGAGTGACGTCACGAGGAGGCGGAGGCGTGGCCGGCCTTCTCCGTAGCCCCGGCAAGGTAGGGTGGGGAGCTGTGCCTCCCCTCCGCCTCTGTCCCTCTGCCCTCCCGCCCACACTACTATTTTCGGTCCCCGATTTGACGTCTGACTTCGAAGCACCGTACTGAGAAGCTTCGGTGGCGGAATCTGCCGGGCCAGGAAAGCAGCACGCGTGCGCACGCCGTGGCCCGCGCGCCGGAAGTACGTCCTCGCTTCGGGCGTACAAAGAGGAAGTGCTCGGGTCCCGGAAGGCGGGGGTAGTGGCGACCGTGGTCGCCATGGCTACCGAGCCCGGGGCAGAGGGACCCGCAGTGCCTTCGCTCGTGGATCGTTACTTCACTCGTTGGTACAAAGCCGGTAAGAGGGGAATGATGTAGGTCTCTGTTCGGCCGCATTGGCCTGATGTTGTAGGGACGGTGGTGACAGATCATAAGCCACGGGCGCGCGCCCCGGTGCTTCCTCGCCACGTCTGGAGGAACTGGAACTCTCTGTTCCCTTCTAAACTGAAGGAATGGCAATTGCAGACTCAGGGGCCTGAAATACAGCCGGGCGCACTCTGGGGCTGGCGATGTAGTGCGAGTTCAAGGGTGGGTCGCTTGCGATAAGATACTAGTCTAAGGTGAGATCCCCACCAAGGAAGGGAGGGGCTGGAAAAGCTTCGAGGGGCTCAATCCTATAGCAGTGACCATACACACAATGATTTAAATGAGGTCGAAAACTATAATAGAGGCAGGGATGGAGAGAAGAGGTGGGTTCGAATAGAGGCATTTGGAAAGCAGAATCTAACAGTTTTACTAAAAGTTGCCAGTACCATACACGTGTCAGTTGGGAGTCGGTATCGTGTTGTACTGCTTTGTGTACGCAGTACATATCAGTGGTGGGAGCATCGTTGAGGACTCTTCTCTAGGCCCTACTTGCTCCCTTTCATTCAGGGATAATAGGTGTACTCATTTTTTAAATATTGTGGTATATAATTTTGTAGCCAAACTGAGGTGTTTCCCAGAATCTGAGACTTTCAGAGCTAACATCAAGACCGTCTTGGGTAAATCAGAAAGAGTTGGTCACTCTAAAATTGACTAACAAAACATATACTACTGTATTATATAAAGAATGCATTGCTGATTGGCACTTTTTCTAATAGAAATAATGAGTGTACTCATTTT